TTATAACAATTATCTAGGATTACATTGACCAAAATAGTAATTCAGGCCAATGAGAGGCTGTGTTAAAACCTGAAATATCTGTGTCTCATTTAGGACACTGATAAACTGTTAAAACCTTTCAACTAAGCCAAGTTCTTTGACAAGCCAATGGTTTGAAAATCTTACCACCTTCGGATAAAAAGCAAAAGCAAAAGCAAAACCAAACCCACACACAAACAAAACAGAAAAAAAAAACCAGTAGATTTTCTTCATTTAGGAGTTTTGGGGTTTTGCTCTCAGAACATTGGGCCAATCTATAAAATCAACAACAACAACAAAATCAAAACTGTTTTAGAACAAACTGAATTAGTATAAAAATACTCAGTATGAGCCCGGCGTTGGTGGCACATGCCTTTAATCCCAGCACTCAGGAGGCAGAGGCAGGAAGGAGGATCTCTGTGAGTTCAAGGCCAGCCTGGTCTCCAGATCGAGTGCCAGGATAGGCTCCAAAGCTACACAGAGGAAACCCTGTCTCGAAAAAGAATAAAAAAAAAAATGGTCAGTATGAAATACTGTCACAAATGGCAGATGTCACAAATGACACTTTATTTATGGTTCACTGTTCTTTGCATGTTTACAAGACAGCAGAGGCTCCAGTGGTGTGTTTCACAATAATCTATAGATCATTTCTATAAGGGGAAAAACAAACTCAACAAAGCAGGGCTAACTCAGTAAAACCTTTGACAAAGCTAATGCAGCAGACTTCCAGAAGTCAAGTAAAAACTCTCCTCAAGGTGGACAGCGGTAATCGTAGAAGAAGGAGAAGAAGCAGCAGCTATTTCTTTGAGTGTCTTGGCAGGGAAGCTTAAAATCAGAACAAAAAAGTAGGCATGAATTCTTACTGAGCAACAAACTCCCCACAGAGCTTGGGAGTATATTTCAACCAGCCACACAGAAATGATCTCAGAATTCTGAATAGGTAAAGACCTCAGAGAGTCAACCGTGTTTGCTTGTTTTGTAAGTTAAAATCTGACAGGGTTCATTGGGTAGCATTAGAGAATATTACCGGGAGTTACAAGTAATTTTTGTAGGCTTGTATTTTGAAAATGCACAGATGCTCAGAAACTAATTTTCATCATTTCTAGCTATATTAGTAAAATAGAATTTTCTAAATATTAGCTGGATAGTGGCTTATCCTTCCCTCCTTACTAATAACTCTATCACTATTGTCTTATCAAGAGAAAAGGCCCTTTAATGGTTGCCTTAGTTTAGAATTTCAGTCTCCTAAGTTGTTGTCCTAAGTCATAGTTTCCAAGCCTCATTATGAACACATTTTAGAGGTGGAGCCTTTTGGCTGATTCTGTTAAGACCAGGAGCTGATAAGGTAGGCAGGACCGAAGATGTGATACAGAAAAAAAAAAAAAATCAAGATATTGATTTATGTGGCGTTCAAAACCTGACTCAATTATCTGACTCAACACTGTAAAGTAAGTTCAGAACTCTGAGCTCTTTATGTTTTACCTTTTCAAAGACAATATTTTATTCTTTTTGGTTTTTTTAATATTTTATTATTTGAAATCTGCCTGTTTCTTTCTTGAGGGGCAGAGACAAGTTACAAATTTGCATTCCCTCTGAAGCATGCATTTTATGGCATCATAATTAGTCAAATAAACAGGCCTGGCAAGTCTCTGCTGTGGGAACTGGCTGGAAGTCAATATAAAAAAAGATTTATTCAGGGGTGGTCACATGAATACAGTGCTCAGCAGACCAAGAAAATTACAACCACAATCATCCTCCAAGCACAGTCGTTCTGACTGGGGATACTCAAAACAGGCAAACAGAATAAGCACAATACAGACGTGACAGAGACTGGGAAGGAATAGGAACCACTTTCTCAAAGCACGGAAACACAGTGGTAAGCCAAGTCTCTAGGACACTTTCTTCAGTCACTCTAACAGTAAATTCATGTTTGCTTCTGTTTTGCTTGTATTATAAAATTTTAATGAGATTTCATGTACTCAATGATCAATTTTTAGGGAGAAATTTTTTTTCTAAAATAGGGACATTAGTGGTTTTGGATTTATTTTTATATGGTCTACAGGAAAAGGGATGGGTAGTTTTAAAGACATTGTCATATTTTGACTTTTTAATGTGAATGTGCCAGTAATGTGTTAGTGATCATGAGGGGTTTAAGAAGGTTTTCCAGAAGAATTTAGAGTGTAAATACGAATGAGGACCTGCTGTCAGGCTGCAGTTAGGCACACATGTAGTTTTATTGCACAATAATTTATAGGCATTTCCAAAGCACTTTCTCTGTTCCTGAGCCTTGTTTAGAATGACATTTTGAGAAATGCTTGCATGTTTCAGCTTGCCAGTCTCCAACTTATGATTTTTTTTAATGTAAGCTACTTTCACGCACATTTTTATTTGTTGGATATGATGTATTCAATCACATTTGAGTTGTGCCACTTCATTATAAGGCTATTTCAAATGTCACATCCTCTATTGTCTGGTCACATCCTCTATTGATTGGTGTAGACAGTCAATAATATTCATTCCTGCTGAAACAAATCTTCATTTTTATTTGTACATGGGCTAGCAAGCATCCAAGAATCAAAGAAAGAAGAAAAAGCAAGAGGGGGATGCCTTTATTTTGGGGGGAGGGCTGTGTCGAGACAGGGTTTCTCTATGTAACAGTCCTAGCTATCCTGGAACTTACTTTGTAGGCCAGGCCGGCCTCTAACTCACTGAGATCCTCCTATTTCTGCCTCCCAAGTGCTGGGATTAAAGGTGTGCGCCTCCACCGTCTGGCTAAGAGTGATGTTTTAATGAGCTTATTTTTACTGCACGACTGGTTTACAGTGAAACTCTGGGACTGGGAGGTAGAGTCAGTTCTTCTGGCTACAAAGGGATGTGGCTGCTTCCTCAGCTGGTTCAAGCTGCCCCATCTCTTTAAGCATGTATATATATCCAGGAGCAATTCTTGGGACTCCTGGACACCCTGATTTAAAACATTTATTTTTTGCTAGTTCTACATTCCCCCCTACATTTGCCAGTCCACAGGCTTTCTAATACTTTTTTACCATCATTTTGTAGCAAGACTTGCCTCCCAGCCTTACTTAATAGTTGCATGTTGTTTTCTTTTCTGGAAATAACCCCGTGAGCCTGCTGTGGCTACTGTGCTCTCCACAATGGGACTGTCCCCAGAACTCTTCACCCGAACTTTCACGCTGGGAAATAGGCGGCTCTCTGAACCTGTCTCATGAATGGGATGAGAGCTTCAAACAGGAACACTTCTATTCTTTACCTATATGGAGATATTCCATCACAACCTTGTGGACCATTTTTAGGCAAGACAGTGGTAAAAAAATTACTTCTACCAATTACACAGGCCAGCATAGAGCACCATTGATGGTAACGATGGCCCTGGCACACCTCCCAGAAAACTGATGTTCCCTCTAAAGTAATTTGATTTGTAAGTCAGTCTAAGCAAGCTCTTTCTTTACATAATCTAAAGTTTTAATGAACTTCACGAAGAGTTATCTTTTTTTTTCTTTTATGTGCAGCTTCCAGAAAGGTCCAACAATATGGATTTGTGTGTGATTTCTTGGTTGGGCTATGGAAAAATGTTATATCCAACTATGTTCTGAAACTTCTCTTTTGGGGAATGTTCTGCTAGAGTAAAATGTCTATATATTGTGACAGTTAATATCATGTGTCACTTTGGCTGAACTGTGCCCAACTGCTAGACCAAATGCTAGTTTAAATGCTGCTATGAAAATGATTTTTAAATATAATTAACAATTATATCAAAGAGTTTTATAAGGTTTTTTTCACACTTATTTATTGGGTTGGTGGGGGTGGGGGTGTGGAAAGGGAGGGTGTCACTGTATGTGGTCAGAGGACAGCTTGTGGGAATCAGCTCTCTCTTTCCAACATGTGACTCAGGATGACACTCAGGTCATTATGCTTGGTAGCTGGTGCCTTTACATGTTGAGCCACCGTGCAGATTTTATCAGTATATCATGGTTCAGTAAGATAACCCTTCATTAATGTGAGTGGGCTTCACTTAATCACATGAAGGCCTTGCAAATGCAGTCTGGGGTTCACCAAAGAATATGAAATTCTCTTCAGACCTTAAAACCTAGACGCTCCAACTGCGTTTCCAGCTTGAAGTTACACAGGTTTGTATGCAAAGCTTCAGTTGGCATCCTGTTTGCCTTCCCTACAGGTCATGAAAGAACTAGCCCACACAGTCAAGGAAGCCAATTCCTGAAAGTAAATTTATTTGTCTTTTGTCTCTACATGTAACTTCCTTTCTTACATTTTTAAAAAATCTCTAGATTGCTAAATGCTGATTCAGTTGTGCCCCATTCCTTCTGTTTCTCTGAAGAGCCCAGATGAATGTATTAGCCAGTTCTGAGAAGTTCACAGGCTCAGTGAACACTTTTTGCAACTAGTGATAAGTGTTGAGGCTGATTTGCGGTTTTTCAACAGTTCAGTGTTTTCACAGATTGAGTTATTCCCCCAGGGAAAGTGAAATACAGTAGTCTTCTCATATCCAATTAATATGCCCATTACGTGGTGCTAGATGTGTTGATTTATACATTATATGTAAAGGACATCCTGGTCTAGATTCATTTAATGCATTCTCTCTCTCTCTCTCTCTCTCTCTCTCTCTCTCTCTCTCTCTCTCTCTCTCTCTCTCTCTGCCTCCCCTCACTCCCCTTCTCTCTTAGCCTTTAAATGGCTGCAAATTGTACCAATTAGAATATTGACGTATTTACAAACCGGGGGTTGCATATAATTCATGGAGATTCACTGTTGAAGGAGTCTGTGTGTGAGGCAAGGAGAAGGGAAGGAAAGAGACCAGAAGCTCAGTGGATAAGCTAGGAATTCCCAGAAGCTAAGCACTTCCTTGGGAATAAAGGGCAACCAGGCCCTGACATCTGCAGAAAACTTCCTCTTAACATTTTAGTATTTATTGGCTCTTCTCTTTTTTTCTTATTAAACAGACCCAAATGGTTAACCGAGAGATAAACGTGTGCCAACAAACATGGGCCTTACTGTGCAAGAACCTGCTTAGAAAAAGGAGAATGAAAAGAGACACTTTTTTGGTAAGACTCAGGATCTGCCTGCTTCCTGTGTGTGACCCACAGAGTGTTTCCTGGGTACAAGAATTGAAGATCTTCCCTGAAAAAGAAATCATGCCTCTAAAGAGAATCAGGACAGAGGCCATTCAGTAACGGTTGATGATAACAAAGAAGGGCACCAAATGAGAACGCAACTGGTGCTAAGTGAGAACACAATAAATACTTTAAAACCTCACAAAAGCACTCAAAGCTGTTTTCTCACTGACAAGATTAAGGTAGTAACAGGTCAAAGTGACGAGTGTGCTAATGGATGTAGACACTGATGACAGAGGGCTTTTCTTTTGGATCTCTTTCGCTTTTAAAAAGGCATTGGTTTCTTAAGAACACAGACTTTGGGAAATTGTCACAATATTGTGAAGAAAAATCTTCATTATAATCTTTCCATTTAAGTATCAGATACTGGAGCCAGGTAGCGTCTGGTAACTAAATTGCGATTATTCTAAGTACATGTTCAGTGAAGTTTTAAAAAGCCAAGTACTAAAAAAAGATACCAAGGTTGGTAAAATGGCTTAGAAAGTAAAAGCCCTTGCATCCGAACCTGACGAGGTCCCTAAGTTCATGACAGGAAAAGAGAACTGACCGCTATGAGTTGTCACTGACCTCAGCAAGTGTATTGTTGTGCTTGTGCATAGGAGTGCCCGTGTGCAATCCTGTGTACATGAATGTGTACACTGGTGTGTGCATGCATGTGTGTAAGTGTACGAGCATGTGTGCACGCACATGTGCGTGAACACACACACACACACATACACACACACACACACACACACACACACACACACACACACCCACATTTTGAGATTAACAAACCTTTAAAGTGATTTGCTGTTTGTAGCACACAGTTATCCCTAATGGACACCTACCAAGTCAGAACAGTATTCTGAGGTCCCTGCCTTTTTTGTTGAACTTTCTACCCTGCAGTTAAAAATATGACAAAATAGAAATTATTATTAAACTATCAATGCCAAGACAATAATAATTATTAAATTATCAATGTCTTGGAACTGTCTCTATCCACTTATTCTCACAGCAAAAGCAAACTTGGCAGGGCTGCAGGGAGTTTTTGCCCACTACTTACAGTTTTTGCTGCCTTTTTAAATTCAGTTCATCTCATCGCACCAGTGTTAGAGAGCGGTAAATTTCACTTCCATCCAAAATTCCCTAGAGAAGGCTAGGTGTGGTGGCTATATCCCTACACTTGGGAGGCCAAGGCAGGAGGACCACAACTTCAAAGTCATTTTAGGGTATATAGCAAGATAATACCTTAAGCAATAAGTCTTGAGAATTATAATGAATGTTTAATCTCTGTAGACTGAATTTTTAAAAAAACTATGCTAAGAGACAGAGAAATTAGAAAATTAGTCAACAAAGATCATAGCTATATGGCAAAACCAACTGTGTTTGACTTATTTTAAATTACAATCATCTTTATTGTTTTTCTTTGGCTTGTAGGAATTTCTGTACACTTCAATTATACTGTTTAGTTTATCCTTAACTACAGAGATTCATGAGGTTTATGATTTTTCACATCTGCCGAATGTGGACCTGGGACGTATTGACTCTTTTAATGACTCCAACTTTATGATTGCGTACACTCCTGTCACCCATACAACTCAGGGAATAATGGATAAAGTCTCTTTGGCCTCCTACATGGCAGGTGAGTTTTTTTTTTTTTTTTTTTTTTTTTTTTTTTCTAAATCAGAAGGAATCTGCCTTCCTAGTTAATTTGGTTGCACACATGGTTAATGTATATTTCACTTGATAAGCTGTGTTGTGTGGTGTGTGTGTGTGTGTGTGTGTGTGTGTGTGTGTGTGTGTGTTCCATTCACATTAGCATCCAGGTGTGAAAGCCAGCAGAGGCCCAAAGAGGATATGGCCTATCTTATTATCATCCTCTTCCTTGCCTTGAAACAGTCTCTCTTTGGAGTATTACTGTTTAGGATAGGTGAGGCTGACTGACCATAAAGCTCTCTGAATCCCTCTATGTCTTCCAATAGCTGGGGTTACAGATGTGTGTAATCATGTCCAGATTTTTATATTAGGCCTGGGAATTAGAACTGAGGTCCTCAGATGTTTGTAGGGAAAACACTCTTATCCATTGAGCTATCTCTTCAGCATATTATTTAACTGTTATGATAAATCTTTCCGCCAAAAGCCGCCTGAGCCCCACCGCCATGAGTGAGCTTTATGCCAGCCACCGCCTGAGTTAGGGCCCAAATGAATATACAGAAACTTGTATTAGGTACAATGCTGCTTGGCCAATGACTAGGATTCCTCATCTGTTAGCTCAGTCTTAACTATCATAAACCTATATATTTTATAAGATTTATCTTATCGGATGCCTTATTGATGTCCTTCCTTGCTGGTAGATCACATTGTGCTGCTGGAGCAGGAACGGAGGGGAAAAAGGAGCCACTTCCTGTTTCCTCGCTTAGATATGAGTCTCGTTGCTATGTCACTTCCTGCCTGGTTCACCACTTCTCTACTACGTTTCCCAGAATCCTCTTTGACTCCTAGTCCCGTCTAACTTGCTGTCTCATTGGCCAAACAGTATTTTATTTAACAATCAGTAAGATAAACATACACAGTACATTCCCCATCATTTAACTAAACATTTTTCTTTCAAAAAGACTTAGTTTTATGTTATGTGTAGGGTTTTTGTCTGTGTGTCTATGTTTGTGCACCACATGCATGAGGGAATTTTGGAGGCCAGAAGAAAGCATCAAATCCTCTGGAACTGGAGTTAAGGATAATTGTGAGCTGGCATGTGAGTTCTGAGAATTGAACCTGGGTCCTGGGCAAGAGCAGCCAGTGCCCTTAACCACTGAGCCATCTCTCCCACCTCACTTGATAAAATTTAATTGTCAAAATTACCTAATAGTATAGCACATTAGCATGATTTTCTTTAATCATATTCTTGGCCTAAGAATAATTAGCATTGCCTTTATTCGATTTAAAGTTCAATTACTATCCTTCAACACCAAAATATATATTTACTTATTCACTGAAAATTAAATCCGAGACAGGTTCTCACTGTGTATCCCGGGCTGTCCTGGAACTCATAATCCTCCATCGTCTCCCCAAGTGCTGGGGTCACATTGTAACACTGTGTGCAGCTTCAACATTCAATTTAAAGGTTCTTTTAAAAATGTGTTATTTGTTTCAATCTTTGCTTTTTATATTAGGTTATTTATACAGAAAGACCATTATGACAGTCAAAAAAAAAAAACTTGTCCTTTATTATACAGGGTTGTTTTGCCTATCCTGGGTCTTTTGCTTCTCCATATAAAGTTGAGAATTGTTCTTTCTAGATCTGTGAAGAATTGTGTTGGGATTTTGATGGAGATTGCATTGAATCTTTTAAATGATTAAGTTTGCCCAGGTACACATCAGACAGTGACCAAAAATGGTTTTGCTATGTTATGATGTAGTACTTCAAGTATTTTCTGAAGTGGCTTTGAGCCCCCTTTCTCCTCATTTATAAGGTTGATAACATGTAATGTATACTGAGTCTTTCACTTGTAAGTGAATCCTAATGTATATGGTTTTAATATTTATTACCTGTTTGTCTTGTTCCGAGTTTGCTCTGTGGAGTACCAAGAATTAATTTCAACAAGATTAGCAACACAGATAGACACCAAGCATATCTTTCCTATTAGATCCAGCTCAGGTGCCAAGCTCCCAAGAACACACCCAAACCATGTCAAGCTAAAATAAACAAGCAGAGTAGTGTTGCAACTGGATCTTGGAATGTTTACTAGAAGAAAGACAAGTTAAAGCCAGCGAGTGAAAATAGATTTTTTTCTATTTCTTTTCATTTTTCTTAAATACAAGTCCAAATCCTACAGTGTCCTTTAATATAAAGCAAGGGGGAAAGAACCTCAGTGTAGTGATGGCCCCATGATGTGGGTTGAATCCAAGTGTGAGGGTATGTCAGAAGGAATTTGTCACTGATTGGCAGTGTCATCATGGTCCATCAAAGGTACTACTGGAAGGTGGTTGACCTGTTGCCTGGAAATCTCCATAATCTTTCCTCCCTCTCTTAGTCATATTCTGTCCACACTGTTGCTCTGGCTCGGGTATAACCACTACTTTTGCATTTGGACTCTGACCTCAGCAGCAGATTCAATAGTTCAGAGTCCACCTTCACCACAGTGTGTGCTTTGACAAACCCCTAGCTACTGGGAGTCTCTGTAGCCTTAGTTCCCAGACTATTCTGAGGTTTTCCTTCCTGTCTCTGCCTCCCTGCACACCACGAGTCACAAGGTTACAAAGCATCCCAAACTTGTTTCCCCTGACACCTCATTAACCATCTTGACCCCTGAACCTTGCACTGGGCATCTGAGCCCTCACCACTGAATCCATTTCTGACTTAACCCTGTTCTGAACTTCTACCCAAGACCAACACCTCTCAATTTCTCCAACAATATTTGGCCTGACCCTCTGTTTCACAGATGTTATCTATGGGGTGAAAACTGTAATGAACTCAACCCTAGCAAATTCCCAAAAGGCATAGCTAGAATGTTAATAAATAATTGTCAGATAGATGAATACAACTTTCTGTGTCACACAGAGCTTATCTTCATGTACACCCATTATCTCTAATGGGAGCCTGCCAAGGACCCCGAATATTTAGTTTATGGACAAAAAATTAAACCGCACCTTATCCAGTAAGAACACACTTTGTCCACTGTCTTCTCTTTTATGAACACTTCCAACACAGAAAAAAGTATCCGCTTCTGTGCTTGTCATCACTTATGTTTATACAACAGCATGTCTATTTGCACAGTTCAACACATTCTCTGTGTAAAGTAAGGATCTTGTTAGTGATACACGCTATACTAGTCTCCTAACTGAGAACTTTACATCTTTTTGACACGTTAATAAAACATAATGGGTTTTGGGAGAAAATAAATTTGAGTAATGGCTTCTCTTAATGAAAAAGCAGTGTCTAGCTAAGCTACATACATACTTACTTGGTTTTGTTTGTTTTTTATATTTTTTATTTTTCTTTTTTATTTAAATTAGGAACAATCTTCATTTACATGTCAATCCCAGTTCCCTCTCCCTCTCCTCCTCCCCTGCCCCCAACCAACCTCCATCCCATCCCCTTTCTGCTCTCTAGGGAGGGTGAGGCCTTCCGTGGGGATCTTTAAAGTCTGTAATATCATTTGGACCAGGGCTTAGACTATCCCCAGTGTGTCTAGACTGAGAGAGTGTCTCTATGTGGAATGGGCTCCCAAAGTCCATTCGTACACTAGGGATAAATACTGATCCACTACCAGCCATGGCATATCCAGTTGCAGTGATACTAGGCACTTTCTCTCTTATTAAGGCTGGGTGTGGCAACTCCTTTTCCCACTGTTAGGAGTCCCACAAGGAGACCAAGCTAAGTAACTGTCCCATATATGCAGAGGGCCTAGGTCAGTTCCATGCAGGCTCTCTGGTTGTCAGTTCAGTCTCTGTGAGCCCCTACGAGCCCAGGTTAGTTGATTCTGTGAGTTTTCTTGTGAATCCTTGAATCCTTGTATCCTTGAATCCTCTGGCTCCTACAATCCTTCCTCCCTCTCTTCAACAAGGCTCCTGAGCTCCGTCTAATGTTTGGCTGTGCGTCTCTACTTCTGTTTCCATCAGTTGCTGGACGAAGCCTCTCTGATGACAGTTGGGTTAAGCACCAATCTATGACTAGAGAAGAATATCATTAGGCATAATTACATTGACTTTTCCCCCCACTCATGTTTGGTTCTATCCTAAGTCTCTGAGCTATCCCACCTCTGGGTACTGGCCCTCAGGGGTGGCCTTTTCCTTGTGGCATGGGTCTCCAGCTGGGCCAGTCATTGGTTGGCCACTCCCACAATTTTTGTGCCACTTTTACTCCAGCACATCCTATAGGCAGGACAAATTGTAGATAGAAGGCTTTGTAACTGGGTTGGTGTCTCAGCTCCTCCACTGGAAGTCTTGCTTAGTTACAGGAGATGGCTAGTTCAGGCTCCATATCCCCCATTGCTAGGAGTCTTAGCTAGGGTCATCCTCATAGAGTGCTGGGAGTTTCCATTGCATTAAGTTTCTAGCTTATCCTAGAGATGCACCCAGATTCCACTTGTCTCTCCCAGTACTCTCCCCTGCATCCTCCCCACACCCAATCCTTCCTGTTCCCATCCCTATCCCCCCATCAAGATCCCTCCCACTTTGTCCAAAGGGGATGTCTATTCTATTTCCCCTTCAGAGTGACATTCATGCCCCCTACCCCCTTGAGCCCTCCTTGTTACCTAGCTTCTCTGGGTCTGTGGATTGTAGCATGTTTATCCTTTACAGCTAATATTCACTTATGAGTGAGTACATACCATGTTTGTCTTTCTGGGTCTGGGTTACCTCACCGAGGATGATCTTTTCTAGTTCCATCCATTTGCCACAAAATTTCATGTCATTGTTTTAAACAGATGAGTGACACTCCATTGTGTAAATGTTACCACATTTTCTTTATCCATTCTTCACTTTAGAAACATCTAGGTTGTCTCCAGTTTCTGGCTATTACAAATGATGCCGCTATAAACATAGTTGAGCAGGCGTCCTTGTGGCATGGTAGAACATCTTTTGGGTATATGCCCAGGAGTGGGTCTTGAGGTAGATGGACTCCCAATTTTCTGAGAAACCACCGTATTACTTTCTGAAGTGGCTGAACAAGTTTGTACTCCCCCAGCAATGGAAGCGCGGTCCTCTTGCCATGCTACCTCACCAGCATGAGCTGCTACTTTTGTTTTTGATCTTAGCCATTCTGACAGCTGTAAGATGGAATCTCAGAGTCCTTTTGATTTTCATTTCCCTGATGGCTAAGGATGTTGGACATTTCTTTAAGTGCTTCCCAGCCATTTGAGATTCCTCTGTTGAGAATTCCCTGTTTAAATCTGTACTCCATTTTTATTTTTTTTCAGTTTTAGAAGACTTTTATTATCTTCTTTAAAATTTTTAATATAAATTTTATTTAAATTAGAAACGATCTTATTTTACATATCAATCCCAGTTCCCTCTCCCTCCCATCCTCCCATGCCCCCCACCAAGCACCCCAATCCCATCCCCCATCTACTCCCCAGGGAGGGTGAGGCCTTCCATGGGAGATCATTAAAGTATGTCACATCATTTGGGGCAAGGCCTAGCACCCCCCCACACCCCCGTATATCTAGGCTGAGAGAGTATCCCTCCCAGGGGAATGGGTTCCCAAACTCCATTCGTACACTAGGGATAAATACTGGTTCCACTGACAGGCCCCATAGACTGCCTAGGCCTCCTAACTGGCACCCACATTCAGGGGGCCTGATTCAGTCCTTTGCTGGTTCCCCAGCTGTCAGACTGGGGTCCATGAACTGCCACTTGCTCAGGTCACCTCTTTCTGTAGGTTTCCCCAGCATGGTCTTGACCCCTTTGCTCATCACTCCTCCCTCCCTACAACTGGATTCCAGGAGTTCAGCTCAGTGCTTAGCTCTGGGTCTCTGCTTATGCTTCTATCAGCTACTGGATGAAGGCTCTAGGATGGCATATAAGGTAGTCATCAATCTTATTATAGGGGAAGGGCATTTAAGGTAGCCTCTGCCCTACTGCTTAGATTATTATTATTTGTTTTTTTCGAGACAGGGTTTCTCTGTGTAGCTTTGGAGCCTATCCTGGCACTCGCTCTGGAGACCAGGCTGGCCTCGAACTCACAGAGATCCGCCTGCCTCTGCCTCCCGAGTGCTGGGATTAAAGGCGTGCACCACCAATGCACAGCTTACTGCTTAGATTCTTAGTTGGGGTCATCCTTGTGGATCTCTGAACATTTTCCGTAGCGCCAGATCTCTCTTTAAACCTATGATGGCTCCCTCTATTAAGTTATCTCTCTTCTTGCTCTCCTCTTCCCCCAGCTCAATCTTCCTGATCCCTCATGTTCTCCTTCCCCCTCCTTTCTTCCTAACTCGCCCTCCCCTTTTCTTTCTCCTTTCTCTCCCTCCCCCCATGCTCCCAATTTGCTCAGGAGCTCTTGTCCCTTTCTCCTTCTTCTGGGGACCATGTATGTCTCTTTTAGGGTCTTCCTTGTTTCCTAGCTTCCCTGAAGGTGTGGGTTGTAGGCTGGTAATCCTTTGCTCTATGTCTAATATCCATAAATGAGTGAGTAATACCATGTTTGTCTTTCTGTGCCTGGATTACCTCAATCAGGATGGTTTCTTCTCGTTCCATCCATTTGCCTTGAATTTTAAGATTTCATTGTTTTTTTTTCCCCCGCTGAGTAGTACTCCACTGTGTAAATGTACTACATTTTCTTTATCCATTCTTCGGCTGAGAGGCATCTAGGTTTCTTCCAGGTTCTGGCTATTACAAATAATGCTACTATGAACATAGTTGAACAAATGTCCTTGAAGTATGAATGTGCATCCTTTGGGTATATGCCCAAATACTGAATTGCTGGATCTTGAGGTAGACGGATTCTCATTTTCCTGAGAAACTGTCATACTGATTTCCAAAATGGTTGTACAAGTTTACACTCCCACCAGGAATGGAGGAGTGTTTTCCTTTCTCCACATCCTCTCCAGCACAGATTTTCTTTTCAGATCCAATCTGTTTGATGTTCTGTAAGCTTCTTGTACCATTTAAGGCATCTCATTCTGTAAGTTAGGAAAATTCTCTTCTATGATTTTGTTAAGTATATTTTCTGGATTTTTGAGCTGGGATTCTTCTCCATCTTCTATTCCTGTTATTCTTAGATTTGGACTTTTCATAGTTTTCCAGATTTACTGGATGTTTTGTGTTAGGAGTTTTTTTTTCCTTAGAATTAACATTTTATTCAACTGATGACTCTATTTCTATTGTATCTTCAACACCTGAGATTCTCCCTTTTATCTCTTGTATTCTTATGGGGATACTTGCATCTGTAGTTCCTGTTTGCTTACCTAGATTTTTCATTTCCAGAATTCCCTCAGTTTGTGTTTTCTTTATTGTTTCTATTTTAATTTTCAGGTCTTGAATAGTTTCTTTCATCTGTTTGTTTTTTCCCTGGATTTCTAGGCATTTCTTAAGGGATTTATTGATTTTCTCCAGTTTTTCAGAATGGATTCTTATCACTCCAGAACCATAAGCTAAAATCAACTCTTTTCCTTGAGTTGACTTTGGTCATGGTGTTTTTATCACAGCAACAGAAAAGTAACTAATGCAGCTTCTCATATGTTTTGTTTATAGAAATTTACTTATAGTAATAATCTTTTCCTTTAAATTCCAGGAATAACAGTATTGGGTTTTCCAGATGAAGAAAATATGACAGAACTTGTTTCAAGTCGTTATCATGACGTAGTGAGGGTTATATTCACCAACACGTATTCCTATCATCTGAAGTTCCATACAGGAACAAGGATGCCATCCAAGAAGGAGCATGGGGACCACACAGGTAACTATGAAGCTCCTGAACTGCATGGCTTTCCACTCCTCTAATGTTATAAGAATATGTAGGGATATGTCATGCTAGTTTTGTTGTTTTGGACAACCTGGGAAAAGGGAACCCCAGCTAAAGAAGTGCTTCCCTTTGGGTATGTCTGTATCACACTTTCTTAACTGCTAATTGATGCAGGAGCAAGTCTTGCCTACTGTGGGTGATACCATCCCTAGGGAGGTGGACCTTAGGCTGTAAAGTAAATGTAACTGAACAAGGAAGGGAAAGCAAGCCAGTAAGCAGCATTGTCTCTGCTTCATACTCCTGCCTTGACTTCCCTTAATGATGTACTATAATCTATAACCTAAAATAAACACCATAATTCCTAAATTACTTTTGGTAAGTTTTAAGGGGGTTATCATAGCAACAGAAAGTAAACTTGAACATGATATTAATTAACTCAAACTAATAAACTTCAATAACAAAGACAAGGAACTGATAAGATAGCTTAGTTAGGAAGTACTTGCTGTGCTAGTGCGAGGATGGTAATTTGATGCCTAGAATCCATGTAAAACTCTTGGCATGGTGGTGCATGCTTGCAATTGCTGTGCTGAAGATGCAGAGACAGGTAGTTCCCTGGAAAACCAGGCTAGCCTAATTCAGTGAGTCCTAGGTCCTAGTGAGAGACCCTGTCTCAAAAGACATGGTGGGCTCCTCCCGAGAAACAACACTCAGGGCTGACTTTTGACCTTCACACACATGTACACATTAACTAATACTTCCCACCTCCAGCTATAACAAAGGTAAAGTTGACTCCTAGAATTAGACAAACAAAAAATGTTGCTCTCTCTCTCTCTCTCTCTCTCTCTCTCTCTCTCTCTCTCTCTCTCTCTGTGTGTGTGTGTGTGTGACACACACACACACACAGGTGTGCCTGTTCATGCATGTTCGTCCTAAATTAAATGCACATGAAAAAGAAAATCACAGCAGCCAATAGCGAAAATGATTGGTAAAGATCAGTGTGTTGTGTTCATGTTTCCTGATGACATATGAGTTTAGCAGGTTTTTTTTTTCCCAAAAGGAAGCTTGAGCTTCAATGGCAAATTTAGGATAAATCAGATGGTCTCATGCTTGTGTCAGTTGGAGCTATGTCAGCAGGCTGGAACTTTCAGAAAGATACATCCTTAAAGGCAATGTAATGGGTTAGACCTGCAATACCAGCTCTCAAGAGGCTAAGATAGGAGCATGAGTATAATTTCAAAGCCAGCCTGGGAAGCCTACTTGTAGCTGGAGTTTCTTGTCCCGCCTTGTCCAACAGCCACTTTGCCCCAAATAAACAAAGACTTATATCAAGGATAAAATGTTTGACCGATAACTCATATATCTTATTGGCTAGCTCTCTGTTTATTATTAACCCATAACTACTAATCTATGTATTTCTACATGGCTTTATCTTACCAGAGAAGGCTCCAGAATGTTATTCCTTCAGCACCTACATGGTGACTCTCCCTGGTGGCTTCTCTCCCCAGAATTCTCCTAACCCTGCCTATACTTCCTGCCTGGTTACTGGCCAATCAGTGTTTTATTCATCAACCATTAAGAGAAACATATTTACAGAAAAACATCCCCCATCACCTACTAAGTTTTAGCTCAGTTTAGGCTACAGAATAAGATCCTTTCTTCAAAACTAAAAACCAAAACAAATGACAGCAACAAAAGATGTACCTTTCATCAATGGGAAGAGTGGAGGATGGATCATGTCGTTGAAGCAGAAAAAAGAAACAACAAGGAAACTTCTTTCTCTTGGGTTTGAGGAAATATTATGTTCTTCATTTGTTTGTTTGTTTGTTTGTTTGTTTTCTGTTCTTCTGTCATGTATTACATCCCCTCCCTTTCCTCCCCCAGCCCCTTTACCCAACTTCTCCCCCATATCCACTTCTCCTTGTTTCCCTTCAGAAAAGGGCAGAGACATCCCAGGGTTATCAACCAAACATGGCATACCAAATTACCATAAGATTAGACACATACCCTCATATCAAGGCTGGACAAGGCAACCCAGAAGGAGGAAAAGGGTTGTAAAAGTAGACAAAATAGTCAGAGATGGCCTCCACTCCCACTCTCAGGAGTCCCACAAAATCAACACAAGGTACTATAAAATATAGAGGACTTAGCTCAGACCTGTACAGGCTCCCTAATTGCCACTTCAGTCTGTGAGTCCTTATGAGCCCTGGTTAGTTGATTCTGTGGGCTGCATTCTCCTGGTTAGACTTTACCAGTGTGTGGGTTCATGTACAGATGTTTCTTCTGCCTGTATTTATGCCATTTTTAAGTCTACATGTGCTTTCATCATTTAAAGATATTTTGAAGTTAATATATTTTAGAACAAATTTCCTAATTTAATGATAGCTTATCTTGGATGAACTATAGGTAAAATTTCAATTTTGACTTTTCATTTTCAAAATAAACTTTCTTTAAAAAATTATCCAATTATTATTTTATTATGAGCTCCATTTGCCAATTATTTTGTTATATTCAGTTATATCACTAGAAAATACTTGACTACAAGTGGGGCCTTGGTCTTATTTTAGACTATGTTACTACATTTTGATAATCTTAAAACTTATTTTAAAACACTAATACAAGGATTGGGAATATAACTCACTGGTACAATGCTTGCCTAGCAAGTATAAGATTATCAATTTAATTCCCCCACACCAAACTTTCTAATAATGATAATAAATACAAAAGCAAGAAGAAGTTCAAAAATATGAACAATAGAGAAACAAGAAAATATAAAAACAATGTAATGACTAGGAAAACTTAGAAACAAGGAACACTTTCTAGAGTAGTTGGCTTTGTTACCCTCTCTTCAATAATTACTATCAATTATAAATTTGAGATTTTTTTTGGATTTTGTGGCAACAAATGTATTATTAGTACTGGAGGTTATTGTAAAATTTACTACTTGCAATACTTAGGGTCACATCCCATACTCATATTTTTTTCTTTGTTCTCAAAGCTCATTGTTCTACATATGAAGATAATATTAATTGTGGCATTTCACACTTCTGGACAGAGGGGTTTGTGGCTCTTCAAGCTGCCATTAATTCAGCCATCATAGAAGTGAGTGCAAAACGCTTGATGAAAAATAATTCTATTTAGTTTTGTGGATGTATAAGTAGATAACTATGTTTCTTCATTCTCTCACTTATTCAGTTACTCCTTTACTCAAATTTATTCATCTACTCTGTTTCCCCCAATAAAGTTCACCAAAGTTGCTATGTTACCAGTTGTAGTAGAACAATGTAGACAGCAACATCAACAGAATAAGATTTTTTTTTCTTCCAGGGAGTCAGTACTCTAAGGAAGCCAGAAATGTAATCACATAATTAGAACAGGAAGCATGTGTTGTAATGGAATTATAAACAGTGCTCTTGTCTGTAAAGAAGCACACAATTCCCAGCCTAGATGGAAGAATCCTTATTAAAATGATCCTCAGCTCTGAGTGATCAAGTAGGAATCATGTCTACCTTATATAACAGAAAAAGTTTTCCAAGAAAAATGAGCAACCAATGGTAGGCATGAAGTTGCTAAGATTCAGTCATGTGGGCTGCCCAGGATGAAAGATTTGACTCTAGAATCTAAATAACAGCAGAATATGTGAGTAGAAACTCAGGCTAACATCAGATCCAGACAAGTCAGTTACACATTCAGAGGAAACAGGATGTCATCTGTGTACCATTGTTGTGCATGTTCTGTTCACTGATATCTTTATTTAGGTCACAACAAATCACTCAGTGGTGGAGGAGATGATGTCAGTTACTGGAAAATACATGAAGATTGATACTTTCATTGGCCAAGGAGGAGTAGTGACTGATTCCTTCCTGGTTTTTTGTATTATTTGTTTTTCCCCACTTGCCTACTACATCTCAGCTGGTGTTACAAGAGAAAGGAAAAAGATGAAGGGCTTGATGACAGTGATGGGTCTTCAAGATTCTGCATTCTGGTGAGTCGGTGGAGGGGCTCAGAAAAAGTGCACCTCTGGGGAGAAACATCCTTCACAAGGGTACTGTAGCTCAGCTGGCAGAGTGCTTGCCTTGTGTGCAGAAAGCCTGGACTTTGATCCACAGCAGCATATATACTGGGTCTGGTGGCACATCGCTATAATCTCAGCTTTTGGGAGGGAGAGGAAGAAGGAGCAGACGTCCAAGATGATTATTGGCCATATATGGAGTTCAAGGTTAACCCTAGGTACATGACACTATTTCAAGCATAACCCTTCCAAACTCTCCATCAATATTAAAATGTAAATCTTTCTTGCCTTCATTTCTTCTGAATTATGTGGGCTATCTGATATGATACTTCACAGAAAAAGGGTGAACTTAGCCACATTTAACTCTGAGTTGAACAATGAGTTACATGTTTGCCATTGAATGATATTTCAGATATTGCACAACCAGTATCTCCTGCTTTCAGATTCATGAGAAACCAGAACTTCTAATATTTGATGAAATGCTTGCTGTAGAGGTTTGTAACAATAACTCTTTCTGCCAGCTGCCTGAGTTCTACCGCTACCTTAGGGCCCCCAAATAGCACACAGAGATTTATATTAGTTACAATGCTGCTGGCCAATGACTAGGATTTCTTATTTGCTAGTTCTGTCTTAAGTATCAACCATAACCTTTAATCTATATATTTTATAAAGACATCATATTGAGGACGCCAGCAGCATGCGTCCTCTCTTCCTGGGATCACATGGTGACCATCTCTACTACATTTCCCAGAATCCTCCTTCTTTCCTAGTCCTGCCTATCTTGCTTCCCTATTGGCCAACAGTGCTTTATTGATCAACCAATAAGACAAACATATACATAGAAGGACCTCCCCCATCAGAGGTGTTGTTGTTAGACAAATAAGCAACTTATTTGATCTCTTAAATGGGATGCTATGCTAAAAGCATTATGCAAAAAATCAATCATAGAGCTGAATATATTAAATGTTAGCTTTAACCAAGGGAAACAGACGTGCAAGAAAAATATCAGTGTTTACTTATGTCTCACTTCCTTCCCAGTGGTTGTGTTGTAATGGGAAAACTGCATAAATCAGTGAGCTTCAGTTTCTGCTTTTGCAAAAGTGGGGGATAATATCCAACCATACCACCCTCGGACACTTGTTGACATGATTAACTATGCTCATTCTTTTTTAAAAAATTATTTTCTTATTTTATGTGTATGGGTGTCTTGATTGCATGCATGTCTGTGCAGATATTTGTGTCACCGCATGGGTGTGGGAATCAAATTTGGGTCATCTACAGAAGCAGTCCGGGTTCTTAACCACTGAGCCACATTTCTGGTCCCTAGGGTCATTCTTATAAAACACTAGCCTACACTTTGAAAAGTATTTGGTAATCAGTAGATGCTAAATATTAACATGTGTTTTGGCAGTTAGGGTTATGACCTGTGTGTGAAATAGCATAAAACTTAGAGTTGAAAGCCCAAGTTTTCTATTCTTCAATTACCTTAAAGTGACATAGTCTCCTTTGGTCATGGGTATGTCAGAATCATGTCATGGCAAATGCATTATTTAATTCATACTATTAAAAAGTGGTATTCTTTATTTCTGGAATAGAAAGTAGACACTGCTCACTCTTTCCTGTAGACTTTCCCTTATTAGTATTGTGCATAAATGTTGTGTATTTATCATAGCTAATAAAACGGTAGTTATTAGTGACTAGAGAGCACATTTAAACTAGGGCTCACTCTGTGTTGCACAGTGAAATGATTGTCAGCAAATTGGTACTGCCCTATGTCTATAGCTCAAGTAGCATGGATTCTGATTTTACTCTCCCAAAACTGTTTTGTGTTCCATTTTGTTCAACTTTAGTCTCTCCCTGAACTCCTGGGAATCACTGGCTATTTTAATCTCTATAGTTTGCTTATTTTCTTTTTTCCATTTATTTTACATACCAATCACAGGTTCCCCCCCACACTCCCTCCTCCCACCTTCCCTCTCACCCACCGTCATCCATTCCTCCTCCATCTCCACTCAGATGGGCTAAGGCCTCCGGTGGGAATCAACAAGCATGCCGTACCAAGCTGAGGCAGGACCGAGTCCTCCCTGCTGCATTAAGGCTGAACAAGGCATCCCACCATAACAAATAGGTTCCAAAGAGCCAGCTCATGCATCAGGAACAAGTCCTGGTCCCACTGCTATGGGCCCCACAAAAGACCAAGCTATATAATTGTGACTGAGATGCAGAAGTCCTAGGTCAGTTCCATGCTGACTCCTTAGCTGTCCATTCAGAGTCTGTGAGCTCCCACAAGTTCAGGTCACCTGTTTCTGCAGGTTTCCTCATCATGATCTTGACCACCCCCCATCTTTCTCATACAACCCCTCCACCCTCTCTTCAACTAGACCCCCAGAGCTTAGCCCAGTGCTTGGCTGTGGATCTCTGCATCTGCTTCCATCAGGTACTGGATGGAGGTTCTATGATGACAACTAGGGCAGTCACCAATCTGATTACAAGGGAAGGCCAGTTCAGTAACCCTCCCCACTATTGTTAGGAGTCTTAGCTGGGGTCATCCTTGTGGGTTCCCGGGAGTCTCCCTCACTAACCCCACAATGGCTTTCCCATCAGTTTCCGACTCCATCCTGCCACAACTCAACCTTCCTGATCCCTCATGCTCTCATCCTCTCCCACCCCCAGTTTACCCAGGACATTCCATAGACTTCCTCTTCCCAGGAAGATCCATTCATCTCTCTTAGGGTCCTCCTTGTTTGTTACCTAGCTTCTCTGAGGTTGATAATTGTAGCCTGGTTATCCTTTGCTTTATATCTAATATCCACCTCTCAGTGAGGACATACCGTTTTGTTTTATTTTTGTTTTGTTTTGGGGAGTTTTTTAGAGAATGACCAGGAAAATGGTAAATAGTTGAGATGAAGATATAGTTTAAAATCTATATTTTTAGCCTGACAACATTAATTTACAATGCAGAAATAGGAATTGCATGTATAATTAGGGGCAGGAAACATTTGTCTTATTATCAAGCTCCTACAAGTTAGCATCCATCTGTCTCTGAGATCAGAGGAAGTAAATGAATCAGGTCTTTTTTTGTAGGATTCTGCTTTGTAAATCTAGAGAAACAATAGTAACTGTCCTAAGGGCATTAGAAGCTGTAAGTCAGTAAATGATAATGTAGATAAAGTAGGAAATGCAATAGGAATTATCAACAATAATAAAACTCATTGTTAATTTCTTACCACTATAATAATACATTCACATAGTATTGTTTACTGGTCATTAAGCTTCATGTGTTAGTGTATGTGTGTGTTCTCGTGGGTGTACGCATATATGTGCATGTGTGGTGGCCAGAAATCAAGTTCTAGCATCATTCCTTAGTTATTTTCCATCTTATTGAGATAGAGTCTTTCATTGGCCTGAGATTCATTGATTAGATTTGATTGGCTAACTAGAGATATATCTGTGATCTTTTGTCACAGGGAATCTGCCTGCCTTATTTTCCCCAGTTCTGAGATTACAAGCATTCACCACTGTGCACAGATGTTTATTTACTTATTTATTTATTTATTTATTTATTTATTTATATTGTTGTTTGTTTTGTTTTGTAGATTCTGGGAATTAAACTCAAGTCTTCATGTTTCTATGCCAAGCACTTTATCTACCAAGCTAGAGCCCTATATCCCTTATCAGCATTTGCTATAAGCATTTTAAGACCATAATTTGTCAGAAAGTATTAATAAAGAAAAGGAAAATGGATAAAGGAAAGAGATAATAATAATAATAATAATAATAATAATAATAATAATAATAATTGAATAAATAAATCCCCAAACCATTCTATCTTAAATAATATATTATGACTGGTATTAATGTGTATAGAACAGTTGGTGTCACTATAAGGAGAAAGAAGAACTTTATTGGAAGCATATTAGGGAAAAGAAGAAAGTATAGAATTAGGCATTCTTATTTCCATATTAAAGCCATGAAAAGAAAGTTCAATCAGAGAACCTTTTCATAGGATAAAGAGACTCTTCAAATTCACCAAGACACTCACTCATCCACACCTGACAGATGGAACAGACTGTCAATGTGCATGAGATTTGTCTTCAGTCTTTGTATCACTTAAGTATAAGACTATTTACATCCCCAGATTATTCTGCTTATATATTTTAGAAGATCCAATGGAGTCTGGTGAGTGAGCAGGGGGCTGAAAGAATGGTGATACAAGAATCTAGAGTAGGGCCCCTTTTCCATCTAACTATGAAGCACTAATAGAATTTTGTTTTTATATCAGGCTGTCCTGGGGTTTGCTCTATGGTGCCATCATCTTTGTTGTGAGCCTTCTCTTGACATTTATTATAAAATTGGTTCAGTTTGTCATTTTGACTGGATTCATGGCGATCTTCAGCCTCTTTTTCTTCTATGGCTTATCTTTGGTGAGTTGCTGAATAAAATCTCTGTCTAGTTTTCAGTCTAAGAAACAAAGTTGGTACCAATTAGGTGATTTTTGTATATACCTATTTTCTATTTGCGTGAGACATTCTGTAGATAAATACTATTGATATACTTCCTCTTCCCAGGAAGATCCATTCATCTCTCTTAGGGTCCTCCTTGTTTGTTACCTAGCTTCTCTGAGGTTGATAATTGTAGCCTGGTTATCCTTTGCTTTATATCTAATATCTGCCTATGAGTGAGGACATACCGTGTTTGCAAGTTGGGATCTGTAAAATGGTTTTGTTTTATTTTTGTTTTTGTTTTGGGGAGTTTTTTAGAGAATGACCAGGAAAATGGTAAATAGTTGAGATGAAGATATAGCTTAAAATTTATATTTTTAGCCTGACAAAATTAATTTACAATGCAGAAATAGGAATTGCATGTATAATTAGGGGCAGGAAACGTTTGTCTTATTATACAAGTTAGCATCCATCTGTCTCTGAGATCAGAGGAAGTAAATGAATCAGGTCTTTTTTTGTAGGATTCTGCTTTGTAAATCTAGAAAAATAATAGTAACTGTCCTAAGGGCATGTTCTTTGTAATTCTAACTTTCTGTAAAATTTGTAGAGAAAACTGTAATTCTATACAAGAAATCCTTTGTTTTGTTATGGTTATAACTCTTAGATAAACACACACCAACTGGGTCTTCTCTTGTTGTAGATTTCTTTGTCTTTCTTAATGAGTGTCTTACTAAGGAAGTCTTTCCTCACCGACTTTGTGGTGTTCTTTCTCACTGTCTTCTGCGGAAGCCTGGGATTTGCAGCATTGTACAGAATCCTTCCTGGGTCCTTGGAATGGGTTTTAAGTTTGCTCAGCCCCTTTGCCTTTATGCTTGGAATGGCCCAGGTGAGTGGGAAGCCAGTTAGTTTATTAATGATGTTTCTGAAATATCTTTTCTCCTTGGAACTCAATAGTCTATAGTCTTTGCTACATAGCCTTTTTAACACTGTAGTTCAATGGACTATACTTGTGAGATTTCAGAGAACTCTAAAGCCAGAGTCATTTTCTCCTAGAAAATAAGTTCTTTTTATGTGAAAAAGAAGAATGGACTCATAGCTCAACAGTATATAGTGTTAAGTCACTCTCCAAAGTTTATGTTATTAAATTGAGTTTGAATTGATGTATCCCAGTTAACCATCTTATTTAATTTTAAAAGGATGTGTGGTTTAATTCTGAGTCAATAAGACAAGCAAAATAAAATGAAAATTAATCTCAAGCATTGACCAGGAAGTCCCTTTTTCATTCTCAGGTATTTTTTTATTCTCCTTCTCTACTTAGTTCTTAAGCTGAAGAGACCAGCTCTTTCCCTCAGATATGGAGTTATTTAATCTCCATTATGATGTGATGATAAGAATTACTGTAACTAATACATAATATATAATGCTGATTCTCTTGAAAATTATGGATCAGTCTGATTTTTTTCTCTTATTAAAAATGTGTTTTTATTTCTCTTTCTCCTCCCTCCCCCCCATCATGTGTGTGCATGTGTGTGCCCGCTCATGCAGCGCACGCGCCATACTCACCAGTGTGCAGGTACCTGCAGAGGCCAACAGAGGGTGCTAAAGTTACAGGTGGTTGTGAGCCCCCCATTTTGTGTTCTGGGAACTGAACATGAATCCTCTGCAAGAGCAGCAAGTGCTCTTGACCACTCAAGCAACTATGCAAACCCTTTCAGTCATTTTTCCTACTAACTTTGCTTAAACATGAAATGCATTATCATTAGTTTTTTACTGTCATGCAACATCTCCCAGAGCATTTTTTTCTTGTTCCCATTCCCAATTAGCAAGCTCTTACATGACCGGCACTCTTTCACTAAGCTCTCCTTCTACCTAAGGTGTGTCTCATTTGGAACACAACATCCACTGTACTAAACACACTTGATACATTGCATTATGCTTTTCCTATATCCTTGTTTTTTCAGTCAAAAATCTGTAAACTTGTCAATCAAACAATTTAACTTTGTCTTTCAGAGATCTGGCAAAAGGTAACAGTTACAGCCCATGAAATAACTAAGCTGTTTTTAAGAAGTGATTATTTGCCTTTGACTTACTGGGCTATTTTTAATTTCCAGCTCTTACACTTGGATTATGATGTGAATTCTAATGCAGACCCAACGGGCAACCCAAATGTAATCATTGCCACAATTTTCATGTTGTTCTTTGATAGTGTCTTCTACCTGGTATTGACATTTTACTTTGAAAAGGTTTTACCAAGTAAGTATTTCCATGATAAGACTTAATAGCACGTTTGTAATCCCATTTCTTTTTATTAATCATGCATTTTATATACAATTAACTACTTAATTAAAATTTTGTGGTTAATTCATTAATTAAAAATTTGAGATTTTAAAAACATGCCCTTCAAATGCATCACCCACATCTCAAGAACATGTCCATTTACAGGAAGACAATGGGCATAGTCTACCACTCAGGAAGAATGGCTCTTTTATCTCCCTTGCAATTTATCAACTCAGAACTAAAATCAGAATTTTGTGCATGTGGAATATGTAGTAATTTAGGATAGTATATAGTCAGTTTCTCTTTATCTGTCTCTTCCTACTTTCCACAATTTAGGACTTTTTGTTCCTAAATGTTTGTAGTTGCTGACAGATCAGTGTTTCTACTCTCTTTCTGCATATCTGAGCCATGTAATAAGCTTTCTCATTTAACTGACAAATAAACATGTATTTATTACCTATAATATGAAACATATTATGTTTTGAAACATAGCTACATTGTGATTTACTCAGTAGAGCTAATCAATGTATATGTATTACCTCACATTACTTGTTTTTGTGGTGACCTACTATATGAAATTTTCAAGAGTCCAATACACTGTTACTAACTACAGTACCATGTTCTGAGATCTCTTGAACTTAATACTCCCTTTTTGATGAAATTGTATGGGTTTTGGTCAAAATCTCCCAAGTCTTACCCTGCCATTTTAGCCCCTGTGATCACCATTCTACCCTAAGTTTATGAATTCAACTCTTTATTTCCACATAGATCAGATCAGATGACACTTTTTCTACTGTGTCATCATTTAACAATAGTGTAGTTCACCCATGTCATTAGGGGTATAAAGTAAGACCAACCCCGCTCAAGCTAAGATGCTCTGACTCAAATAGTTGAGAGCAGTGCCAGGGCAACCTGTACTTTCAAGGTTGGTCAAGGTGGACATAGTATGCAGCCATCCTACAATATTTAATCACATCTAAAGGACATTTATAATTGTATTTCCCTTCAATTTATTAATCCATATGAGCTTCTCAAAGGCTATGATTTTGGTCTTGTTGGCTGATTGAACTCAAACACCCTGAGAGGACTTCATATACCCTGGGACTTAGTAAACCCCTGTAAAAGGTCCTTCCTTTGCTTCTGTCTAATGTGCCTTCTCTACCTGAGAGCAGAGACTTTTTCCTATGTGCATTTCCTATGCAAGGCTCAGTGGCCAGTGCTCTATCCCAGAGAAATCACAGGGAAACACGAAGAAAAGGTGAATCAGTGAAAAGCAGCAACAGAGGAATTTTCTTTTTTAGTTAATAGTTGACTTCCTAATTTTGAGAGAATCATGCATACATGGTAATTGTCTTTGTTGACTTTTCCAAAGTTTATTGAATAATATTTTACTCGATTTATTATCTTTGTTAACATGTGTATATGTAGAAGATGAATATTTTGAATATATATTCTTGGTTATGTTTATGTATGTAAGTATAAATATATATATATATATGTATATATATATATATATATATGTTTTATTTCCAGTACTGATTAAACAAAATACTTGAGAGAAGGAAAATATTACTTATCAAATGCATAATCTAAGTAATATTGATCTTAGGCAAATTTCCTTAAGAAATGTTTTGAATATTTTTTCTATGCTTTAATGTTAACTTTGCCTTTATTGTTAAATTGCAAAAGTCCTTGTTTGGGGAACAAATTTTAGTCTTTATTTCTGATGTACTCTTATTTCAGGTGGCTTAAAATTGTTGATCTTTCATTCCCTTTCTGTTTATAGAAAGATCTTACTGGACTTTTAGTCCCTAAAGATTGCTTATTCTTTGACTTTCCCTCCTAGTGTTTTAGTTGACAAAATCTATCATATATCCCTTTGTCTTCATAGTAGTAGCATCTTAGGCAAATGACTTCTCTGCAAATTAAGTATAGAGTTAAATGTTCTTTATTTTAGTTTTTGGCCAAAACCTTGGGCAATATGTGATATAATTCATTTTTTCTTAAAACTCAACTTAAACATTTTTTAAATTTAATTTGAAATATGTGCTTTTCCAATTTTTACTCAACAACATTTTATATTGCTTTGATATATTTCCACCTGTATATCTTATGCTCACACTAGTCTTTATTTTGCCTTCATGTTTTTGCTGGGTGCAGAGCTCTAAGCTAGCAGGTTTGTTTTTATTTCAATAATATAAATTTGCTGTTTTTAATGTAATTCAAACTAATGACATCAGCATCTTCTGGCTTGCATGGCCCCTAACAGGAAATGTCTGTTCATTCTTATCTTAATTTCCTTTGTAATGTCTATTTTGTTTTTGGCGTTTTTTAAGAATTTTATCTTTTCTTTTTGTTGTTTTTAAACCTAATTTTGAAATGCATTTTTTGTGTATATGTCTGTATACACTTGTATGCACATGTACATGCTCATATTTAGACTTCCTTAAGCTTTTTAATTTTAGGACCATAATTTTCATAAATTCTGGAAAAAATAGGAAATTATTTAATTTTCTTTACATTCTCTGTTCTTTTATGAATCCCTTTTGCATGAGTATTAGACCAATTGAGATTATCTCATGGCTATCTCACTGGTTATACTTTTAGTTTTATTTTTCTTATCCCAAACAAGTTGACATGATAAGAGGAACTAGTAGGTAAATTAAATTTACTCTGATTGTAGGAATTAGGTTCACCTACCCTTCATATTGTTGGGATTGATGTGTGGTGCCCTTTTCCACTCTTTCTTATGGCCCATCACTTAATTTTGTTCAGTTATGTTGTCTTTCTTTAAAATGTTCATTTAGTAATTATAATTATTTAATTGACTGTGTAAACTCATACTGTATTTGTATAGGTAAGTAGTAATTTCTCATCCATTTAGTGACTATATCATAACTCATAATATATTTGGATTTGCATTTTGGATAGCCCAAGATTAGAAAAATTGTTCATTTTTTCATGACATTTTTTCTTCATTTTTCCTCAAATTTTCATTGCTCATGTAGTTAATTTTATACCTTCATATTTTTCTTTAATATTCCCAATGTCAAAACACTGTAAAAGAGTGTTTGCTTGTGTTGAACTGTATTCACATTTAGAGGTGAAGATGGGATTTTAGAACAGTAGCTGACCCCATGTGTAATTACACTGTTTCAATAGGTGAATATGGACAACGACACTCACCCTTGTTTTTCCTGAAGCCGTCATTTTGGTCACAGCAAAATCAAGTCCTTGACTATGAAATTGACTCTGAGTTTCTTGATGACTCATTTGAACCTGTGTCTTCAGACTTCCATGGGCAAGAAGCCATCAGGTGAGATCTCAGGTGTGGCTGATGACAGCCAGATCAGGGCAATGCTGTCCTCAGTCTAAAGCCTGCTCCAGTCACACAGTTAAGCCATGCAATCCCTCCTTTGAGTCCTTCACAGTGGTCTGACCTAACCTCATCCACGTTGCCTATAATTTCCTGTACTGTATTCTGATTCTTTTAAAAACTATAACACACTTCTTTTAGTGACACAATTCAGCAAAACTCCTCACTGCCTGTCACTTACTGCTTCTATTCGCTCCTCTCAATATTTCTTCTTTTATGCCTTCATTGTTTCAACAAAGAAGACAAAGGAAAAGGAATGAATCAAGTGACAAGACTGGAGACAAACAGGAAATCGGCACAACATGCCTTTCAGTCAGGCAGGCACACCTGCACTCTGCCTTACAATAAAGTACCTGTTTCATGGAGTGGTAGTTGCATTTGTTTCAAATAGGGAAGAAATCCTCAAGGTCTTTATGTTTGCAACTCTTACTTAAAAAACATTTTTGATTTATTCTTCGAGAATTTTATGAATATATATATATATACATACATATATATATATACATATATATGTAGTGTATTTTAATCATATCCAGCACCCCACTAGCCACTTCCAACTCCCCCTGCTTCCTCTAACATGCCCTCCTCCCATGGACTACTCTGTCAGCATGCTTCGTGAAACACTTTGTTAGTCTTCAAACTAACTGCAATGTGTTGTACTGTTAGTATTCCTTTCAGAACAGGAAAGCAGAATTTTGGGGGGTAATTGTATTTGTCAGTTATTAAATAAAGTGCAATGATAGCTAGTAGCTTCTGATATTGCTCATGACAGTTCTTGTCATTCTCTACTGCCTGACTGACCTGAAGAGATTCTGGGATTCTTGATGTCGTCACCTCTAACATCTCTATATTGCTTCGTTTCCTGCTCAGCCTTGTTGTGTTAGCTGTCTTGTTGTATCCTTATCTAGCTTCCCCACCACTAGCTGTGGTTCAGGAATAATGCTCACGATCAAGAACAACGTTCAAGCCTCAGCCCACACCAAAACAAGCAGCGTGTCTTCCAAGCGAACTCAAGCACTGGTCAATTTTTAAAACATTAAAGTACCATTGCCGTCTAACCACAGCTAAATGAAGTCCACATGCTTTCCCTCATATTCTTGCAACCCAAATTTACCCAGATCCTTCAACCAAACTCAGAGCTAGATAAGAAAGAGCACTATGGCCTTTTAAACAATACACTTCTTGCTGTCTTCCCCAGAATCAGAAATCTTACAAAAGAATACACAGAAAGGTCTAAGCGCACAGAGGCTTTGGCAGGTGAGTAATGAAGATACAGAAAATCTTGACCTTTTAGTCAGTTGACTTTCTCTCTGTGAGCAGTTCTGGACTTTGTAAACAGGTGTTGATTCTCATGTTGTTGTTTTTGCTCCCCTCCTAACTGAACTAACATTGCCATGCTGTATAATTTTTGGAATCACATGAGAGATGTAGACCGGTAGGAAACTTAACGACATTTTTGTCTACCACTTCTAGTTCACTATGACAATCAGATGATCTTCTTTAATATTGTATGTACATTTGTGAAGGGAGGAAGCAATCTTTTTTGGCTCATAGGACTTTCAGTCAGATAATAGCATTATTGATTTGTTTCAAATTTAAGAAACATCAAATGGTTATAATGTGCCAAGGTGTTGCTATTGAATCTATGTATGTACAAAGTTTCCATTTCACTAAAACTGTGAATTTCAGTGTTTTGAAAGTGAAAAACAGGGCATTAGTTTTGATTTAATAAATGGATGAATGTATACTTCATAAATTTTAGCCACATACTATAAATGCATAGGCACGATATGAGCCCTGCTTTAAACCCACATTTGTGATTTTAAACCTTCATGCCATTTCCCTTACAGATCTGTCATTGGACATATATAAAGGTCAGATCACTGCAATCCTTGGTCACAGTGGAGCTGGGAAATCAACACTGTTAAACATCCTTAGTGGGCTGTGTGCTCCCACCAAAGGTAGGAGACTTTCTTCAAGATTGACAAATGGATCTTCGGTGCTTTTGTTAGACAGCTGAGGGTTAAGTAAAGAGAGATAATTAAACTCATAGAGATTGACAGTTTTTATTTAATTTGTTTTTCATTTTACATACCAACCCCAGTTCTCCCTTGCTTCACTTTTCCCCCCTTCCCCCTTCCCACCCACCCCTCATCAACTACTCAGAGAGGGTAAGTCCTCCCTTGGGGAGTCAACAAAGTCTGGCATACCAAGTTGAGGCAGGGGCAAGACCCTGCCTGCTGTATCAAAGCTTAGCAAGGGCCAAGACCCTGCCCGCTGTATCAAAGCTTAGCAAGTTATCCCACCATAGGGAATGGGATCCAAAAGTTAGTTCATGTACCCAGGAAAAGTCCTGCTCCTACTACCAGCTGCCCATCACAGGCCAAGCCACATAACTGTCACTGCATCTGCTTCCATCAATTACCCAGCAGCAAAAGCAGCGACATCTTGAGATTTGCAGGCTAGAAATTGACATTTAAGATATATTATTCTTTTATAAAAGTGTATATGATATTAACTGAACTGTACAGAATTTTAGTATTTAAGAATATTCAAATTTTCATAGAATTCACACTGATTCAATAGATATTTATCACCTATATCGATCACATTTTTATGTATAGATAAATTACTCTCAAAACCCAGAAACATTTAAAATATCATCATGTATTATTTGTCATGATTAGATGGGTTGACTTAAAAGGTCTCCCAATCCTACTGTTTGATTGTAACTTATTGCCTAGAATGGTGTTACCTATGCATCTGAGATTTTAGCCACAATGTTCTCTCTCTCCTCATCTCTGTCTCTTTGTTATTCTATCTCTGTGTCTATCTCTCATCTCCCCTGCCTATGTGTCTCTCTCTAGTTGTCTCTCTGTCTCTGTATCTCTCTCATCTCTGGAAAACTTCTAGGGCTGAGGTTCTAAGGCTTCTGAGCAGCAAGAGAGAATCATTCCATGCTCTCTTTCACTATTATTGACTCTCATTGCATTGCTCAAAGCAAGTTACATACATAGCTAAGAGGTTAGAGAAATTGACTTCTTTTCTTGATGGTAAAAGATAGGATGTCCCATATTCTCAAATACAGGTGAGATAGAACACTAAAATGAAACTTGGAATAGACAAATCACCAGGAGTAAGATAAAATCACATATCTAATTTTATTTTGTAAAGTTTTTTAGGTTATTGTAAGGTAAAGATGCTGTTTTATCTTGATGATGTCTTTTGAAACCCCTATTTATAGGTTGGGTCACTATCTACAATAACAAACTCTCAGAAAAGACAGACTTGGAAAGTATCATCAAGCTCACTGGAGTTTGTCCACAATGCAATGTGCAATTTGATTTCCTCACTGTACGGGAAAATCTCAGGCTGTTTGCTAAGATAAAAGGGATTCGAAAGCATGAGGTGGATAATGAGGTACATGATATGCTAAGGCTAACATAGAAATTCCAAATGTTACTAAATTAATGTTTGATCCACTTTACTTTGATTTTGGTTGCATTAAGTTGCCTACATGCAAATCAATGTATTAAAGATGGCTTCAAAAATATAGGAATAACAAACATTTATGTGTAACCTGTGAAATTGTCTTAGATCATTGAATATATTCCTTTAATCTTAAAAAAGTATGAGATAAGTAATGTGATCTTCTTCATCTTCAAATGAGATTGAATTATGAAGAGGTAGATAATTCCCCCCAACTCATATATCAAGTAAACATGGAGTTATATGAAACCCAAGCAGATATTACTACTTATTACAAACCATTACACTTTACTGTATAACGTCAAAAGTCTTAAAAGGAATACTAGTTATAGCTTAAATGTTTTTTTTTTTTTTGTGTGTGTGTGTGTGTGTGGTGCGTGTTTGTGTAGGTACAAAGAGTTTTGATGGAATTGGAAATGAAAAATATTCAGGATACCCTCGCTCAAAACCTAAGTGGTGGACAGAAGAGAAAACTGACTTTTGGAATCGCCATTTTAGGAGACCCTCAGGTAAGTCAATGAAGTTTCATAAATAAAGTCAAAAAGTCCATGTGGAAACAGCCTTCTACGAAGGTACTGTGATGGAGGTGATATGGTAGAGTCGTGGGTGCTATAGCAAGTAACCAAGTGTATGCCTAGCCTGTGTTGCCTGCTTCTGTAGTCAGTGAAAATTCTTTCATTTGATCCCTCCTCTAGATTTTCCTACTGGACGAGCCCACTGCTGGGCTGGATCCCTTCACAAGGCACCGAGTGTGGAATCTCCTGAAGGAGCGCAAAGCAGGCAGGGTGGTCCTCTTTAGCACTCAGTTCATGGATGAGGCTGACATTCTGGCTGGTAATTGCTGACTTCCTTAAGCATCAGGATGAAGACTTAGGGCTGAAAATCTTGAATTATTTTCTTGCTGTTTTTATGTTGCTGGATGCGATGACCCAGGTCTTTCTGACAAAGGGTATGAGCTGTCTGTATCCCTTCATGTTCTACAGCACTGTGATGACACACAGCATGGCTTTCTTAGGAGGTTTACTAATTTCAAGATAAATGGCATTCAGTTGAATGTCATAATTTAATAAATCAACTTGAAATGTTTGTGCAGGACCAGCTAAAATACATGTTAATGTTTATCTATATCATAAATTTCCATGTAATTCATTCTGTTCAGGTGTTTGACACATAAATAATCTACATAATCATCAGAGATGATGGTGGGTTTTTCTAACCATAATTGCTTCTGACTTTTAAAGTTGTATAAACTCTTATACAGTTCACTATTCTTCATATTTTTTCTAAAATAGATGATATCTCCTTTCTTGGCTTCTTCCTTTTCAGACAGGAAAGTGTTCATCTCCAAGGGGAAGCTAAAGTGTGCGGGCTCATCTCTGTTCCTGAAGAAGAAGTGGGGGATTGGTTATCACTTAAGGTAGGCCTTCTAGGGACAGGTGGGGGTAGATGAGAACTGGGCTAGAGCAAAAGAGGAGAAGGGACATGGGGATCTGAAAGGATGAGCAGGGGTGACTACAATCAGCACACATTGTAGACGTGTCTGAAATTTTCAAAGAATTAATACAAACAGATTTTAATATAAAATTATATGTGTATAAGTGTATGTATGTGTGCGTGCACGTGTGTGTGTGTGTGTGTGTGTGTGTGTGTGTGTGTGTGTGTAGGAAGAAGTAAAGAGTGGGAGAACGGGAACGTTTGGCATATAAGATGCATGGCATATTGTAGAGGAACTATGAGAAAATATAGGATAGATGTAGTTAAATGTCTACACTATTTGGTTCTTCTAAAGTCCTACAACTTTCTCAACCCTGACAAGATTCTTTTTAAAAATCTTTCCTGTCAGTAACCTAGAATATTAATATTGTCTCTTAACTAAAATCCTAGTTAATTTATAGTATATTTGCATTAACTGATTTACCTCTTTATTTCAAGTTTGCATGACTTGCTTTTTACATTGAATTTATAAGTGCTCTTTTCTGGTTATTTTTGAATGTTGGAGACTACTTGAAATAACATATTCCATTTTTTTAAAAAAAAAATAACAGCTTGCAGCTGAATGAAACATGTGTGCCTGAGAGAATAACGTCGCTCATCAAACAACATATCCCTGATTCTAAATTGTCAGCAGAAAGTGAAGGAAAACTGAGTTACATATTACCACTAGAAAGAACAAATAAATTTCCAGGTAATTCATGATCCATGAGCTGTAAAATGAAACCCATGGTCACAGTGAACAACATGGAGCATCAGGTTGATATGTATGTAGTACAAGCATTTCTGGTGACACGTCACTCAGAGATAAAAAGCTGGATACAATGACTGTCACACTTTCCACACAGGAAACAAGTAGACAGAGTGAATTATTCAGCAAAAGTCACTGTCGTGAAGGTGAGTTCTGCCTCCAACCCCGGCTTCTGAGGAGGGAGGACCTGTTGAATCCTTTGGTCATTGTTTCAAACCTTTCCCCCATTTCCTGACTCCTCACAATGGTGGTGCCAAGTGCAGGTTCACAGTAGCAGTGTCTTTTTCATACTGGCTAGAATGTCCCTCATTGTTGCTTTCATCTTGAAAACCGAGTTGTATGTATCTTACCAGACAGTAGAAAGTAAAACACAACTTGCCACAGGTAAGAAAAATAAAAGAACAAAGACAATAAGTAACAATAAAAAATGGGAGTTTATCAAAACCTTCAAGTAATACATGCATGAGTCTATGAGAGAGAAGTACCTGAGTTATCATGGAATAAGCTGACAGCCAGCAGAGCTGAAGATGATTGTACAGTCAGTGCGACATGTGGACTGTTCTATAAATATTCAGGAGTAAGTATACCCTGGAGAGATTGTAACATAATGCCCAAGGACTTTTAAGTAAGTCTCTTGTTTGTTTGTCATAGTTTTTCAGTACCCTTGATGGATTACAGAAATATGATAGCATTCATAAATCTGCAATGAACATAGTGACTTAAAACTTTTGTCTTCACTTACTGGCTAAATGTCCCATTTTTGTGGTTATTTTTTTCTTGGCATGAATTTAGAAAATAGCCTTGTTGTCAGGCCAGTGCATGAAACAGAATAATTGTGTTTGTTTTTCAGGGCATTTGTCCCAGATCATTAGGGACTGTGAAAGCCCATGTTAAGTAAATAAGACCAGAAAGAATTTATATATATATATATATATATGTGTGTGTGTGTGTGTGTGTGTGTGTGTGTGTGTGTGTGTGTGTGTGTGTGTGTGTGTGTCTTAGTTACTGTTCTGTTGTGTAAAGGGTTACCATGGCCATAGCAATTTTATGAAAGAAAGCATTTAGTAGTTGGGGGCTTGTTTACAGTTTCAGAGGGTTAATTCATGACCATCATTGTGGGAAGCATGGTAGCAGGCTGGCATGGTGCTGGATCAGTAATTGAGAGTGCTACATCCTGATCCTAAGGCAGAGGCAAAGAAAAGCCTGGTCCTGGTGTGGGCTTTTGAAACCTCAAAATCCCCCTCTAATGACACACTTCCCTCAACAAGTACATACTTATTCCAACAAGGACACACATCTTAATCCTCAAACAGTTTCAAAACTTGTTACTAAGTGTTCAAATATATGAATCTACAGGGGCCATTCTCATTCAAACCATTACAGGCAGATAAATTAATAAGCATGGAAACTCTAATATATACTTTGTTATGAAAATATAAAGCTTTAGAATCATGAGGATGTGTTAAGTGAACTATAATCATTCCACTTAAAAGGATTGTGTAGTCTAGAAAACAACAGAACATCAGATAGAGTGAGACCTGGCAGTCAGTGCTTACTAACCACTGAAGTCTATGGCAGCCCCTCAGCCAGCAGCTGTTAATTGCCAATAGCATCTCAGGGAAAGGTGACATCTCATGAGCATCTTTCCATTCATGAATCAACATTGAAGGGCCTAACCTTGTACAGGTCTTGTGCAGGTAGTCAGAGCTGCTGTATTTTCATGATTGCAAAAGCCATGTCATATCCAGAAAACAGTCTCATAGCTCTCCTCCCATCCTCCAGCTCTCCTATTCTTTCTGCTTCCTCTCTTGTGATGCTCTCTGGGCCTGAGAGGGGGAGATAAAGATAGATGCCTGCATTTAGAGCTGAGCTTGTACATGAACTCAACCTCAGAACTTTGACAAGCGGCAACCCGTGTTGAGTCTCTGCATTAAGCATCACTTACCATGAAAAGAAACTTCTCTAAAGCTCCCTTCCACTCGCATTTTATTTACTTTATGTGTGTTGGAGAGGGAAGCATGCATGCCAGTTTGAGTGTAGTTGAGGACAACTTCTGGGAGTGTTCTCACCTTCTGCCTGATGGGCTCCAGGAAGTAAAATAAGGTCACCTGGCTTGGTAACAAGTGCCTTTACCGTCTAAGTCATGCCTCCCGCTCCAGTTCCATCCATTTTTCTGGAATTTTCATAATTTTGGTTTTCTTTGTGGCTGAATAGAAAGAATTCTATTGCATGCATGCACCACATTTTTATTATCAATTTCTAGACCTCTGAGCTTATTTCATTCCTATCTATTGAGAAAGATTGGCAATGAACATTGATGTGTTAGTGTCTCTGTAATAGTACATATATGTTGTTTCTGTTTTGTTTGTTTCTTTGTTCATTGATTTGGTTGGTTTTCTGTTGTCCTTTGTTCGTTTTGGTTTTGTTTTTAGCTTTTTGGGAAATCTCCACATTGATTTCCATAGTTGTTGAACCAAATTATATTCTCCTCAGCAGTGAAAAGAAACTCAACGTTCCCCACATCCTGTAGTTTTTGATGATCTCCTTTCTGACTGAGATGAGGTAGAATGTCAAAGCAGTTTCATTTGATTTCCCTGATGACAACATTTGAAAAACTTTGTTTGTTAGATCTTTGTAGGGACCTTGAGAGATGCCCAGACCTGGGAATTGAGAACTGTGGTGTTTCTATAACGACATTGAGTGAGGTGTTCCTGAAACTGGAAGGAAAATCAACAATTGACCAGTCAGGTAGGTAAAAAGAATGAAAGCCATCACACTGTGTCCATTTCAACAGTTACGTTGCATGCTGTTGTTCTTTGAGGTTCTGTAGAAGTGAGGAAATTCATTGCCGTCCTTGCCATCACTACCATAGGTGTACCTCACCTGGGATGTACTATTTGATCCCAGCCATGACTGACAAGATCTTCCCAAGTGTATCCTAGATTCCCTATCCTGTGTTCATCAAATGCTTTCTTGAAAACTGCTATATTAAAGGAATGATCCATTTAAACTTTGGACATGTATTACTTGTATTACTTGATACATATGAATAAATTACTTTTTCCCTTTTTTATTTAAATTGGAAACAAGCTTCATTTACATGTCAATCCCAGTTCCCTCTCCCTCCCCTCTTCCCCTGCCCTATCCCATCCCCTTTCTGCTCCCCAGGGAGGGTGAGGCCTTCCATGGGGATCTTCAAAGTCTGTCAAATCATTGGGAGCAGGTCCTAGACCCTCCCCTGTATGTCTAGGCTGAGAGAGTTCTATGTGGAATGGGTTCCCAAAGTCCATTCATGTACTAGGGATAAATACTGATCCACTACCAGAGGCCCAAGAAAATCAACAAAATAGACAAACCTTTAGTCAAACTTACCAAATAGCAGAGAGTCAACATGCAAATTAACAAAATCAGAAATAAATTACTTTTTAAAAAGATTTATTTCATTTTCAACTGTGTGTGTGTGTGTGTGTGTGTGTGTGTGTGTGTGTGGTTTCTGTGGAGGCCAGAGGCATAGGATACCCTGAAGCTGGAGTTTTAGGTAGCCCTGAGCTGCCAACATGGGTGCTAAAAAACAAAATTCAGGACCCCAGGAAGAGCAGTATTAACCAATGAGCCATCTTTCTAGCTCCAATAGGAATACATTCCTAATACAGGAAGCTTAAGACATTCAACAGTATGATCAACAATGGATATAGTTTGAAGAAAAGAAGTAAATTTGAAGATAACTTTCCTTGGACTTTACTAATTAAAATCCACCCTTGGTTTCATTGAAAACAATTTGGAGTCAACAAAGCAAAGGAAGGAGTAGCTGCTTTCCAGTGAAAACTCAAATCCTTGAGGCTGTTTCTTCCCAATCTGTTCACATCTGTCTGGGTCCAACATGGTGTTGAGTTCCTCCGGGAACACAGCATATCCCAGTGCTACTTGCCTCTATGAGCACTTGAGTTGGTTACTAAAACACTCATGGTCTCTCTTGTAGCTGAGTTTCTTGTGAGCAGACAGGAAAAGAAGCAAGCAGTAGGAATGCTAGCTTGTCAGAAACCATTGGTCTTAGCTGCTACAGTGATGGCTTAAGAGCAGATATTCATATTTACTTTCCATCATCTTTTGTTCCAATCATTTGTTCAAAGAGGGATGTATGTCACTGGGAAGCCAGCGAGTCTGTTCACAAAGCTTTTCTACCTGGGCATGGTGGTACACACCTATAACTGTAACTCTAGGGAGACTGAGGCAGGAGCATCAAGGCCAACCTGTACTGCAAAGCAAGGTCCCTTCTAAAATGAACCACAAAATTTAAAATCTGTTTCTAGTATTTCAGTACACACAAATATATTTAACTTGTGTAAATTGAAGCAAAACAAAAACAAAACCCAAAGAAGACTCTTGTGGGTTCTCTTATTATTATCATAGTTTGTTAGAGAAACTTTTGAGTTTCATGGATCAATGTTATCGTCTAGTTACCAAATTGTAATTTAATGAGATGAGATGTTCATCTACTCTTTTTTTCCTATTGAGGAGTTTGGCATCAGCTGCTCTGAAACAAGCGTGTAAAGCAAGCTTTAGAATATTTTCTTTACCCAGCAAGCTGCTCTGTGCTCCCCACAAGCATCACCCCAGGAGATTCTCCTTAAGCCACTCACACTTTTCTCTGCTCTGTCACTTAATATATAAATGGGAAAATACTGTGTACATTGTTGTAGGTCAGCTCTGCTGGCATATGTATCTGCAGATGGACATTCCCTATGCTGTTATATGCCACAGCTTGCTTCTTAAGAAGCATCATGTGAAATAGTTTCAACTTTCAAGGTTGTATTGATACATTTATGTTTTATCTTGGAATTCCATTTTCTGTAAGAGGATTTTTTTAATGTCTGGATCATAAAGAATGCTTTCAGAGAGAAATCAAACCATTTATTAGAGATGGCTTGTTTTTGTCTCATAGATCTTGGTATGTCAGAAGATGTGCAAACTGAAAGGACAAGGGGCACAGGGAGGCCTACTGAAATGGAACAACTTGTCTCTTTACTCACTGAGAAGACTAATATGAAGGTGGGCTTGGCACTCTGGTGGCAGCAACTCTGTGCAGTTGCCAGGCTCCGCTTCAGGAAGTTAAAACACGAAAGGAAATCTTTCGTTTTTCTGTGAGTATTAAGGTATCCTGGCATCTTCCAACTGTTTCATTAAAACATACCTAAGTAGAACAGCAGGAAAATGATAAAAAATTAAATTCCAATGCAGGTATCTACAAGTTACTTCTGTTAACAGTCCTGGTGTTTATACATTTTTATATTAACACATTGAATGAAAAATCTCTCAGAAATAATACAAGGCACAGAATCTTTCTTTATTACTGTTACTCTTTCAAAGTCTCCACAGTTGAAACAATGGACATCTTAGAACTCAATGTCTTCCGACTCACAGATTTCAGACTTCTCTCCAACTGGAGTGTGGCTGTTAAGTTGATCCTTGTTCAAGTTCTTCCTCTTCTCTGTGGCTCTTATGTGAAGGTTGACCCTTTTCAATAACTGCCAAATGTCAGGCACTGTTAGGAGCTGGACATAAGAGACATCAATTGACTCTCAAGGAGTTTGTCTCAGGACATGAGTCCCCTGTGCTCATCTCAGAGTCGATCAATAAGATGTCAACTTGAGCCGGGCGTTGGTGGCACAGGCCTTTAATCCCAGCACTTGAGAGGCAGAGGCAGGTGGATCTCTGTGAGTTTAAGGCCAGCCTGGTCTACAGAGCGAGTGCCAGGATAGGCTCCGGAGCCAGGACACTTGTTGAATAAGTGATTCACATTGACAAAAATTTCAAGATTAAGATAAGAAGAAAAATCTTTGTAGCTAATTCAGAAACACTTTGTAAAGCAGACTGGGAGAGGTAAGAACAGAGGTATGCCAACCACAGAGCCCAGCAGGAGAGAAGTCTTGTAGTTCCCCAGGCTTAGAAAGGGGACAAGGATGAGGTTTCAGCATTAGTGCTCTAATTCTGAGATACACTTTTTAGACTTTTTCAGATGGGGATCAAAGGAAGGAAAAACAAACAAACAAATCAAAAATCCCTGACGTTTGACCCTATGAGGATTAGAAAATTATGTTGCCATGACAGCGGCTGGGAGAGTGAGATTCTTAAGTCTGATGTAGTGGTAGAGTGTGCATCAGGAAGGAAACATTAGAATAGAAGCAGAGAAAATGAGGCTAAATCTCAACTTATAATTAAGGAGCCACATTCGAAAACTGTACAGGCTGCCCCATGGTCAGAGAGTAGCAAGGGAAGTTTATTGAGGGTAGGTAGATCATGGTCATCATTCCCATTTTAGAGACGAAGAAAATTTCAAGAACTAAAATAAAACACCATGCATACAACTGTCTGTTCTCATTAATGTCTTGCTTATATTATATCCATGTCTTTAAAGGAATGTTTTGAAGACTGGAAAATGGCTATAGGTCTATGTTGTCAATTTTTTTTCTATGTAGAATTTTGATTTTGGGGATTGGACTTCTACATATTTTGTCAGCAAATATTGGCATGATAGCACGTGTGAGTGATTACTGTTGGGAGCTGTCTCCTCATATGTACTTCCTCACCCCTGGCCAACAGCCACATGAGCCTCTCACTAACTTACTGATCATCAACAAAACAGGTAAAGATGTTGCTAATATATAGTTGATGAATATTGTCACTGTCTGGCTGGTATGTTTGTCTCTTGCCCATCGTGGAATCCACCAAGGTTCCCCTCATGCAGTTTTATAACAGTCACTATTAAGAACATTGCTTAGAAAAAACACACATGAAGAAAAGACAAGTATGTTATACACCCAGTTTAGGAAACTCGATCCTAAATTGGAACAAGGATGCCAGAAATTTATGATAAAAGAGATATGTATTATATCAGCAAACATTGAAAATCAAGGTTTATATAAAATACTGTGAAAGTTTAATGTCACAATGATCATAAAAAGAGATTTGAGAAGTTGGATAAAACACCATATTTGTAGGAATAACTTATAAATTTAAAAACATTTTAATTATATGATCACCATTGCAACCATTATTATAAGGCAATAACATATTGTTTAGTTCAAGAAATTTCCATTCTAAAAATCACAGGATGTTAGCAGCAGTTATTTTTAATTGTCAGAGTTATTTTTTAGGTAGAAGAAATCATAAGTCTATGAGAATTATTATTAATATTATTATTGAACCATATTTATAGTCTTTAAAAGAACAATAGAAGACCTAGGAAGTAGGTTCAGTGGGCAAAGCCCTTGCAGTGCAAGTGTGAGAACATAGTTCAGATCTCAAGAGCCTGCATAAAAGCTTGTTGAGTACAAAGGCCTGTCTGTAATCCCAGAGCTCAAGAGGTGGAGACAGTGGTACCCAGAGCAAGGTGGCCAGATAGATGAACTGAGTTGGTGAGACTGCCAAAGTGAGAGACCCTGATTCAATATAAACAGTGGAGAGTGATCAAAGAAGATACCTGACATTGACATTTGGCCTCCACATGGGTATACACACATGTGCTCCCACACATAACATAAAACAAAAAGGGAACAACAGGTATTTGTTCAGAAAAGGAATACACAGAGAATTAAAATCTATACTAGTCCATGCTATAACATGTAAATGACTAGAGTCATTCTGATACATAACCTTGTTACATTCCCTTGGTTTACATTGCCTTTGACATTTTACTGTCTATTAGGAGCACAGATTGATGACTTCATACACTCACTGGAGAAGCAAAACATATCTTTGGAAATTGATGCCTTTGGGACTAGAAATGGCACAGAAGAGACTCTCTACAATGGAGCTATCATACTGTCAGGTGGTGAGAATGTACGTGTATCTACAGTCAGAGCTGTGGCAATTATAGGGCAATTTAATGAAAAATGGAGTCTGAGCCACTATAGACAAATAACATATATGACGATTTATTTTGCACTTGAGGAGAGATTCTGGGCTATGACTGTACCATTTAAACATTAGGTTTATCTAAGAGAACACAAACAATTCCTACTTTCATTCATTACTCAGAGAATTTTATTCATGAGTTTAATAATAATAAAGTTATAATTATGACCTGAGTTTGATTCCTGGAATCCACATGGTGGAGATAACTGACTCCTGCAAGTTGCCCTCTGACCTCCACACATGCACATGTATTTACATGTATGTCCATGCACATATGTAGACCCACAATAATAATAAATAAATGTAAAAATTAAAAGCAATACAATTTCCACTTGTTATTTGAAACTGCAGGGCAGAGATCCCAAATATAAACCCTAAATTAGGTACAGTTTATAAATGTTGCATGGTTTTTCTTGAGGAGATGCAAATAAAACCAAAGGCCTTATTCTACACAAGTCTAGATTAGTGAACCAGTTTATTGGGTTTTCTTACAGGAATATGGGTGAATCCAGCATTTGTATCACCACAGAGTCCACCCCAGCATGGGTGGCAATTCGCAAAAGATGCAATCCACAGTTCACTGCACAGCTTGTAGACAGCTCCACTGAAGAGTCTCCTCTCCCTTCGCAATCTAACTATTGCATAGCTTCAAGAAGGGGCTTAATGAACTGCTTAATTCTTATCCTCTTGCTTCTCGATCCAGTATGGAGTGTTCAGTTCAAAGGGATGGCTACACGACTGTAGTCCTAATTAGTTTGTCCTATTTAAGGTTTGTTTTAAATTTTAATTATGTTCCATTACTTAATTAAGGTATTTAAAAATTACAATTTTGATTTGTGCATCTTCAAAGAAAGGGAAATTGCAGAAGTACCAGTATCTCAACCACATTACAAAGAATGTACTCTCCTATCAGCGTTTGGAGTGTTTGCACATTGCACACATTGGTTTCATGTTTTCTCTTTCTGGATTGATAATCCTTTTGTTATATTTTAGAGTTTCAAGTTTACATTGGCATGCCACACCAAGAGACTGAACTGTTTTCCGGTTCTGGTGGATATTGTTAGTAATGGGTTGCTTGGACTGTTTACACCATCAGCACACATTCAGACTGACCGCAGCACATTCCCTGAGGTTGGTGTGTACTTGGAGATTCTACTGTATCTGGGGTTTACCAGATCTTTCCATTCACAATGATCAAAATGTTGTTGAAAGAGCTTCTTTCCTACATTAGATCATCATTTGGAGCTATCTCAGTATATTTTTAATATTAATTTGATCTATAGTTGCAGTATATATAGATATATGTTACAGTATATCATATATGTCTATGCATATTCAGTTGAGCTGTTGCCTGTAAGCACTTAATCATAAATTAGGAGAGAGAATCCAAACACACTGACTCACACCTATAATCCTAGTACTTGTGAGCTTAAGGCAGGAACATTTTGAGTTCAAGGTCAACCTGCACAGCATAATAAGACTACATCCAAAAAAAAAAAGAAAACAAAAAAGGAGGAGAACAGAGAGGAGGAAACAAAAAACAACTAGAATGAGAAACTTGTGAGTTTGGAATTCCTGAACATTAAATTGGATGCATTGGTTTAAACTGATAATATATCAAAATAATTATAAAAATATTGACCATCGTTAAGTGTCAGCCTAAATTTTAGAATTTTAAAATCATATTAATGCCTGTTCTCATTATTACTTTTCATTTTCATAATCATGGATATGATTATATATAATATATATGTAATATATATATATATAAGCAAAATCTATATTGCAAATTGAATTAGGATGTAAGGAGAAGGAAATCTCAGAATAAACTCAAGGCAATATTATTAGTAATTGATTATTTTTTGAGCAATGTAATCTAGATAATGCTTTTTAACTTTGCCCATTAATTACACTGCATTACTTTCATTCCTAGGATGATACCCGTGGACCGTTTGATTATGTGCCTTATTTCATTTCATGGATCCTTTTCATGGCCTTTGTTCCACCTTATATTTCCATGACAAGCATCGATGACTACAAGGTAGTAGGAAATAAGGAAACTTTAGTTGATTTAAACAATTAGAAGTTATTTATAATGTGATTGTAGGACTTTATATGATGTGCATGTTTATACACTGAGCAGTTGATTCATATACATTTGCACTTTATAAAAGTAAAAAGCAAGAATGAAATGAAGGAGCTGGGTGTTGGTGGTGCACACCTTTAATCCCAGCTCTTGGGAGGCAGAGGCAGGCAGATCTCTGTGAGTTTGAGGCCAGCATGGTCTCCAGAGGGAATGCCAGAATAGGCTCCAAAGCTACACAGAGAAACCCTGTCTTGAAATACCAAAAAAAAGAGAATGAAATGAAGGAAAAAGGAGGAGCAGATGAAAAGATAAAGAGAAAGGAAAGTGAGAAGCAGACAAAAATTTGGTATGTTTTATTTCTGGATAACAGAGGCATTGTGATGATATTTGACTCCCTAAAACAATCTTTTCAGTGGAAGACTGGGTGAGATTCCTTAGAAAAAGAAACAGTAAAATTGGGTCGTATGTCACACATTTCTTCTTGGAACTCATTCATGAAACAGAGAGAGATCTCAAAAATACACAAAGGTCTTATTAAGCTAAAAAGAACTTGGAATCCAAACAGGTTACTGTGGCTGGAAGTTGCATATAAGTGTTTTGTCCAAGAGGAAATTACATAGAGCATGAGCTGTAGAACTCTACATGACAGTTGTTTAGAATCTGTTGCCAATACTGAGTCATGTAGGCACAGAGTAGAGCTTCATGATGTCAAGAACGTACAGATCTCCGTAAGATGAGCAAGTTCAAGAAGTATTACAGGGCTGGAAATACCTATTTCCAATCATCATTTGTAGGGGCTCACCAAAGAATTCAACTTCAAAGCAAGACTTAAGAACCAGGGCAACAGCTCAGTGAGTAAAGTGCTTGCTTTATAAGCAAGAGGACCTGACTTTGATCTCCAGCATCCACGTAAAAATTAAGTCATGGTGGTTTGCTCTCAACTCCAGCACTAGGAAGCAGAGACAAGAGGATCCCAGGGACTCACTCTAATCAAATCCGTGATTCCTGTGTTCAGTGAAAAGTCCTGTCTAAGATAATTAATGATAATAATAATAATGATGATTATGATGATGTTTTAATGGTAGAGGGAGATACCCAACATCAATCTCCAGCCTCCAAAGGCACATACATCCATGGGTTGCAAGTCCACACCTGTGCATCCACATGTTCACGCACATATGAACACACACACACACACACACACACACACACACACACACACACACACACACACTCTGTGGGTAGAGAAAGGGGCTAAAGTAGTTATTGAGGAAAGCATTCTTTAAAAACAAAAGACTTAAGTTGATCTACAGGAAACTTTAACACTTGTAGGGACAAAACCAAACCTCCCTATATAAGAAAACAAACCCAGTATGTGACGAGGTAAATTCACGATGTCCAATAGCCAAGAAAAATTACTTGGATTTCAAAGAAACAGGAAACATGTACTGAAGCAAGAAGGAAAAAAATTAGTTGAACACAGACCCAGAAATGACAAGGAAAATAAAAGAAGTAATGCTTAAAAAGAAAATGTTCATATGATCAAGGTTTTAACTAAAAGAACATGGTAAGGAAAGATATAAAAAGCAGATGAAGTGAAACTCCTGTAAGTACCTAGCATATCTTTATGAAAAACAATGATTGTGACTTTTAGATTAAACACACAGGTAAAAAAGAAAAGCAACTCTGAAAAATAATCTTAAGCTTTAATGATTCCTGGGATAGTATTAATTGGTTCATCATGAATTTAATTAGATTGTCCAAAGCAGAAGAGATAGAAATGACAAAAACACACTTTAAAAAACTTCCAAAATTTGTATCATTTGGTAGATTTTTTTAAATATAAAATTTAGTGCAATATATATCTGGAACATAAAATAACTACATAGTCAATATATATTACTATGTTATATTTTAATGACTTTAAAATGAGCAACTACAAAGCTATCTAAAAGCATCATGCAATATGCAATTATTTACAGTGTTTTAATCACTCGCTTTCATTCAGAATAAAACGACACAATTTTACATAGAAAAAATGGCTACCTTCTTGTGTTAAAGAGGTGAATTGTTTTACCACTCAAAGTTAGTACTTGGGGAATTTTCCTCCTTGGGCCATTAAGTTAATGTTTTATTGACGGCACTGTTGCTCTGTCAGTGACTTCGGATGATTTATTTTTATTAACTACAATAACACATTAGGATAAATTATCTTTATTAATAGCAACAGCAAGTTTCGATAGAGAAGCTTTAGAATGATCCAGGCCCATTAGTCTTTACAGGGTTTAATCCCTAATGATGACTATCTCATTTGCTTCTTTTCTGTATGTTTCATATTTTCACAAAAATAATATCCAACTGATGATTTCACTCTCATATCAGAATGGAGTTCAGCTCCAGCTGTGGATTTCAGGCCTCTGCCCATCTGCATACTGGTTCGGGCAGGCTCTGGTTGAGGTTCCAATCTACTACATCCTCAGTTTGTCTATGTGTGTTGCATTCTATGCCTCAGCCCCCCAAGAGACTATGCTTACAACTAAAGATCTGCTTTTTCAGGTAAGTGACAACATTCCTAAAACAACTATCATTAAATGATTCAATCAAAAAATGACAATAACATATACTCTTTTAGGGTTTTTTTCCATTTTTTATTTGAATTAGTAACAAGATTGTTTTACATGTCAATCCCGGTTCCCTCTCCCTCCTCTCCTCCCCAATCCCACCTAGGGAGGGTGAGGCCTTCCATGGGGGGGGGGTCTTCGGAGTCTGTCATATCCTTTGGGATAGGACCTAGGCCCACCCCTGTGTGTCTTGGCTCAGGGAGTATTCCTCTAAGTGGAATGGGCTCCCAAAGTCCACACCTATGCTAGGGATAAGTACTGATCTACTACAGGAGGCCCCATGGATTTCCGCAGTCTCCTCTGACACCCACGTTCCTGTGGTCTGTATTGGTCCCACTGGTTTCCCAGCTATCAGTCCGGGACTAAGAGCTCCCTGTTGTTCAGGTCAGATGTTTCTGTAGGTTTCACCAGCCTAGTCTGGACCCCTTTGCTCATCATTCATCCTTCTTTGCAACTGGATTCCAGTTCAGTTCAGCGATTATCTGTGGGTGTCTGCTTCTACTTCCACCATCTGCTGGATGAAGGCTATAGAATGGCATATAAGTCAGTCATCAATCTCATTATCAGGGGAGGGCATTTAAGGTAGCCTCTCCTCTGTTGCTTAGATTGTTAGTTGGTGTCATCTTTGTAGATCTCCAGACATTTCCCTAGTGCCTGATTTCTCTTTAAACCTAAAATGTCTCCCTCTATTATGGTATCCCTTATCTTTTCTTTTATTCTTCTCCCTACTCAATCTTTCTGCTCCCTCATATCCTCCTCACCCATCTTCTTCCCCCCCTTCTCATTCTCCTAGTTTCCTCTCCCTTCCCCTCATGCTCCCAATTTGCTCAGGAGATCTTGTCCCTTTCCCCTTCTCGGGGTGGTGGGGGTGACCATGTATATCTCTCTTAAAGTCCTCCTTGTTACCTAGCTTCTCTGGTGTGTGTGGATTGTGGGCTGGTAATCTTTTGCTCTATGTCTAAGATCCATATATGAGTGAGTATATATCATGTTTGTCTTTTTGTGATTGGGTTACCTCACTCAGAATGGTTTCTTCTAGTTCCATCCATTTGCCTGTGAATTTCAAGATTCCATTGTTTTTTTTTTTTCCGATGAGTAGTCCTCCATTGTGTAAATGTACCACATTTTCTCTATCCATTCTTCGGTTGAGGGGCATCTAGGTTGTTTCTAGGTTCTGGCTATTACAAATAATGCTGCTACGAACATCTTTGAACAGATGTCCTTGTTGTATGAATGTGCTGCTTCTTTTGGGTATATGCCTAATAGTGGAATTGCTGGATCTTGTGGTAGACTGATTCCCATTTTCCTGAGCAGTCACCATACTGATGTTCAAAGTGGCTGTACAAGTTGGCACTCCCACTAGCATTGGAGGAGTGTTTCCCTTTCTCCACATCCTCTCCAGCATAAACTGTCATTGGTGTTTGTGATTTTAGCCATTCTGACAGGAGTAAGATGGTCTCTAAGAGTTGTTTTGATTTGTATTTCCCTGATGGCTAAGGATGTGAAACACTTTCTCATGTGTCTTTCAGCCATTTTAGATTCCTCTATTGAGAATTGTCTATTTAGTTCTGTACCCCACTTTTTAATTGGATTGTTTGGTGTTTTGGAACTAGCTTCTTGATTTCTTTGTATATTTTGTAAATCAGCCCTCTGTCAGATGTGGAGTTGGTGAATATCTTTTCCCAGTCTTGAGCTGCCGTTTTGTCTTGCTGACTGTGTCCTTTGCCTTACAGAAGCTTCTCAGTTTCAGGAGGTCCAATTTATCAATTGTTGACCTCAGTGTCTGTGCTACTGGTGTAATTTTAGGAAGTAGTCTCCCGTATTTCCCACTTTGTCTTCTAATAGTTTCAGTGTAGCTGGATTTATGTTGAGAGCTTTCATCCATTTTGACTTAAGTTTTGTGCAAGGCGATAGGCTTGGGTCCAACTGCAGTCCTGCGCTTCAGTCCAACTTCCACCTGCCCACCCTGGGAAATCCAGCCCCAGGGTCTGCAGGCAGACCACTCTCTTTTTCCAGCATATAAATTTGGATTGTTTGTCAAAAATCAGGTGTTCATAGGTGTGTAGGTTAATATCAGGGTTTTCAAGGCAAGATTGCCATTTTTACTATGTTGATCCTACCTATCCAAGAGCATGGGAGATCTTTTCATTTTCTGGTATCTTCTTTAATTTCTTTCTTTAAAGACTCAAAGTTTTTAGGGTACAGGTCTTTCACTTTTTTGGTTAGTGTTACCCCAAGGTATTTTATGTTGTTTGTGGCAATTGTAAAGGGTGATATTTCTCTGATTTCTTTGTCCGTGAATGTGTCATCTGTATATAGTAGGGCTACTGATTTTTTTTTGAGTTATTCTTGTATCCTGCCACTTTGCTGAAGGTGTTTATCAGCTTTAGGAGTTCCCTGGTAGAGGTTTTCAGGTCACTAATGTCGACTATCATATCATCTGCAAATAGTGAAAGTTTGTCTTCTTCCTTTCCAATTTGTATCCTTTCCAATTTGTATTCCCTTGATCTCCTTTTGTTGCTCTAGCTAGGACTTCAAGGACAATATTGAAGAGGTATGAAGAGAGTGGACAGCCTTGTTTTGTCCCTGATTTTAGAGGAATTGCATTGAGTTTCTCTCCATTTAATTTGATGTTGGCTGTCGGCTTGCTGTATATTGCTTTTATTATGTTAAGGTATGTTCCTGTTATTCCTGATCTCTTCAAGACCTTTATCATGAAAGGGTGTTGTATTTTGTCTAAGGCTTTTTCGGCATCTAGTGAGTTGATCATGTGGGTTTTTTTTTTCTCAGTCTGTTTATATGGTGGATTACATTGATAGATTTTCATAAACTGAACCATCCTTACATCCCTAGGATGAAGCCTACTTGATCATGGCAGATGATTTCTCTGATGTGTTCTTGGATTCGATTTGCCAGTATTTTATTGAGTATTTTTGCATCAATGTTCATGAGGGATATTGGTCTGTAGTTCTCTTTCTTAGTTGTGTCTTTGTGTGGCTTGGGTGCCAAGGTTATTGAAGCCTCATAAAAAGAGTTTGGCAATGACCCTTCTGCTTCTATTGTGTGGAATACTTTGAGGAGAATTGGTATTAGCTGTTCCTTGAATTTCTGGTAGAATTCTGCAGTGAAGCCATCTGGCCCTGGGCTTTCTTTGGTTGAGAGACTACTGATAACTGCTTCTATTTCATTAGGGGGTTATAGGTCTGTTTAAGTTGCTTATCTGTTCTCGATTTAACTTTGGTAAGTGAAATCCATCCAGAAAATCGTCCATTTCCTTTAGATTTTCGAATTTTGAGAATTATAGGTTTTCAAAGTATGACCCGGTGATTCTCTGGATTTCCTCTGTGTCTGTTGTTATGTCCCCCTTTTCATTCCTGATTTTATTAATTTGCATGTTCACTCTGCTGTTTGGTAAGTTTGGATAAAGGTTTGTCTATCTTGTTGATTTTCTCAAAGAACCAACTCTTTGTTATATTGATTCTTTGTATTGTTCTCCTAGTTTCCACTTTATTGATTTCAGCCCTCAATTTGATTATTTCCTTGTGTCTTTTCTCCTAGGTGCATTGGCTTTTTTGTGTTCTAGAGCTTTCAGTTGTGCTGTTAATTCTCTAGTGTGACTATTCTCCCGTTTCTTTATGTGGGCACTTAGCGCTATGAACTTTCCTCTTAGCACTGCTTTCAAAGTGTCTCATAATATTGGGTATGTTGTGTCCACATTCTCATTGAATTCTAGGGAATCTTTAATTTCTTTTTTTATTTCTTCCTTGATCCAGGAATTGTGCAATTGGGCATTATTTAATTTCCATGAGTTTGTAGGTTTTCTGCATTTTGTGTTATTGTTGAATTCTAACTTTAAAGCATGGTGGTCTGATAAGATACAGGGGGTCATTTTTAACTTTTTTGTACCTGTTGAGGTTTTCTATGTTGCTATGTTTGCTATGTTGTCTGTTAAACCCAATTGGGCCATAACTTCTATTAGTTCCTTTGTTTCTTTATTAAGTTTCTGTCTGGTGTTCCTGTATAGTAGTGAGAGTGGGGTGTTGAAGTTTCCCACTATAAGTGTGAGGTTTTCTGTGTGATCTCAGTTTTAGTAATGTTTCTTTTACAAATGTAGATGCCTTTGTATTTGGAGCATAAATGTTCATAATTGAGACTTCATCCTGATGGATTTCTCCTGTGATGAGTAGGAAGTGACCTCATTCATCTCTTTTGATTGATTTTAGTTTAAAGTCCAATTTGTTGGATATTAGGATTGCTACCCCCGACTGTTTCTTGGGTCCATTTGATTGGAAAATCTTTTCCCAACCTTTAATTCTTAGGTACTGTCTGTCTTTGAAGTTTAGGTGTGTTTCTTGTATGCAACAGAAGGATGGATTCTGTCTTCTTATCCATTCTTCTAACCTGTGTCTTTTTATAGACGAGTTAAGAATATTAATATTGAGGGATATTAATGACCATTGATTGTTCATTCTTGTTTGTTTTGGATTTCGTGGTGGTGGGTGAAATTGTGTGTGGGTTTCCACCCCTTTTTTCTTTTGGCTGCTGGTAAAGTGGGATTATCTATTGCCTATATTTAATCTTTTAGTTTTTAATATTTTCTTTTTTTATAAAGTTTTCTTAAAATGTAGTTTAAATACAATTGACATAAAATTGTTGCTACAACTTTTTTTTTTGACAGAGTCTAACTGTGTAGTCCTAGCTGGCTTTGAACTTATGGAGATCCTCCAGAATGCTAAAGTTAAAGATGTGTGCCACCATGACTAGATAGATCCCTTTGACTACTTTAGCTATGAGATCCAGTAACACTGGTTGCATATTCTCAGACTTTTTTTTGTCACTGCCCACATACACACACACAAAGCTCCAGTTAAATGGCAACAGAAACCAAGACTCTAAACTGAGAATACAAGTGTCCATCTGTGTAACTATCGCCAATCAAGGACTGTGGTAGGCCAAGAGCTCTCACCGCACACCAAAGCATTCTCAGTTGTTGTTTTTTTAGTTAGTTGTCATATGTCAACTTTTGCTTGCAGAAAACTGGCAGTTGCCTCTCCTGGTTTTGTGTATTGTATTTTATGATGTTCCTGATTAGAAATGAGAATTCTAAGCCACCCACTCTACCACACTCTATGATATTTAAGTTACTATAGATGAAGTACCATGAAGATATTGTTTCTTGGTATTAATATATTCAAATGTTTTCATATACCATAGTATTTATTCTCATATTCCTGTTGATTTCAGATTCTGTATGTTGGTGGTTATGCCATGTCAATTATTTTTATGACTTATGTGATTTCATTCCTTTTTCGAAAGGGGAGGAAAAATAGTGGCATTTGGTCATTTTGCTTCTATATTGTAAGTATGCTTACTATGTTTTTATTCTTATGATGAAGTTAAGTACTAATATTTTTAATGTTTTTGATTGGTGTAAGATAAACTAATTATACTTTAAAATATTTTACATGTATTTTTATGAGAAATTTTCACTTGTTCCATGATATAATTATGGAGATGTACAACATATGTTAAAAGTTCTCTCTCTATTTCCATTTTACTTTCTTTAAAGGTAACAGAGTTGTTATAGAATCAGAAAATAAACCTAGAAATTGTTTTAAAATTCCTTTTAGGAAAAAGAATTAACTGAGGCACAAAGGACATGGAATTTTCAGAAGACTATAAATTTTGTTAATTTAAAAATCTAAAACTAAAATATGATTCTTGAGTGAGAAATTCCTTGTTAAGAATAAACTTATAAGAGAATATGTGTGACTTGTATGTATTTTTTACAGCTTTTATTTTTGAATATCTCAATTCATTAGTGTCTCACAAATACTTGATTTTTCTCTCTGTACTAGAATTTAAGGAAGAAAACATGCAGATTATTTAGTCTCTACTCCCAGTGAGTTAAATAATAATTAATCTTCTCCCCTAATATTTTTTTATTTGAGGCACTGGAGAGCTTGATACACTGTGGATCAGCTTTGCTTATGATCTAACAAATAATGCTTACCTGAAGATCAGAGTGCAAAGGTAGCCATACTAGTTAGCCACCGAGGCCAGGCAGTAATGGCACATACCTTTAATCGCAGCACTCCGGAATCAGAGGCAGATAGATCTCTGTTAGTTCAAGGCCACCCTGAGCTACACAAAATTGATCCAGTCTAAAAGAGAAACAGAGCTCTTACAAAGGTGATCTCAGCACTTGGGATCCCACACCTTTAATCCCAGCATTAGAGAGGACGATAAGGCGGGAAGAGACAGGAGCTCAGGGAGGTCTGAGGTTTGGTGAAGACAGATTGTAGTCAGAGGAATGGTGCAGTCTGGAGATGCAGTCTGAGGACAGGATGGCCCTTTAGGTCTGAGCACTGGTAGAGGTGAGAAAGCTCTAGTGGCTGGCCGCTTTGCTTCTCCGATCTTCAGCTTTAACCCCAATATCTGACTCTGACTTTTTATTATTAAGACCAACTAAAATTATATTTGACACACTATTCATATTTTCATTTTATACAAATTAACTGCAACAGTTTATAGTCACTTATTTCCACAAGTTAGCATGGACACTGATGTATGTCAGAGTATCATAAAACTGAATAAAATAACATGTAGATGAAATATATATATGTATATAAAATATACATTCACACAATTGAAGAATAAAAACCTTAAAAAGCATATATGAAGTAGAGATTAATTCCTGAAAGTTAGTAAGGGGTAAGATTTCTTAATGATGATATTTTCCTAAAGATGCACTTTTCTTCTTTAGTAGAAAAGGCAAACAGGGTAAAAGTCAAAAGAAGAGAAATCCAGGCCTATCCTATAAAACAGTTCTACCTAGAGACATGATACATGCCTAAGATTCTCTTATCAATATATCTGAGGGGGAAAAAATCTTAAAAAGTGCTGCTTCTGATCAATTTGAAACTATTTTCTTTGATTATTTAACTCCCTAGGCAACAGCAAACCTATTTTATTTTTGTTCTTCTGTGGTTGAAACTGGATGTAGAAACTTTAATCTACACATTGGATCCTATACTTGCCTAGCTTTGCCAAATTTCAAATGTCAAGCCAAATATGTTTAGCTAAGTCTAGGAAAAAAAGTTTCTGGTGGTGCCAATTTTAGCCTGGTTTATGAGAATAGAAATTACATTAGAATATATCCATTGCAAGCTTTCTCTAAATTGAAAACACACTAAATTTTTGGTTTTAAGATTTATTTTTATTTTTTAATTATGCATACATGTAATATATACATATTTACTTGTGTATGTTCACCAATAAAGATGCCAGAAAAGGTGTTGTGTCCCTTGGAGTCACAGGAAGGTGTGAACTGTTTAAAATGGGTACTGGGAACCAAACTCAGGTCCTCTGTAAGAGCAATACGTGTTCTAACTGCTGAGCCATCTCTTAGCCCTTACACTGCATTTTAGAAAAGAACTTAATACGTGTATTTCATTTTCTTCTAGGTCGCTCTCTGTTCTATACTTTTGATATTTACTGATTACTTTCTAGACGACTTACTGTTTTGTATCATTGCCCTAATCCCGCCTGCTACTCTGGTAGGCTGCACAATGCTACATTTTCAGGTAAGAAATGTGTAACATTTGTAGAAGTGTCTCTGAATGGGGGTGGGGGGGGTCAATTAGAAAAGCTTTGTCCTCAAATTAAAAATGTGTACTCGGAAGACTAAAAAGGTAGAACATTCTTAACTGAACTAAGAAGATTTTGCCTGAGGGGAGACCATAGCTCCATTTACCTACAAATAAAATTGTAGCCTTTATGGCTATTTACTGGGGAGATGGGTAGTGTCAATTTTTATGCTACATTTTTGTATTTGAGACACTAACTAGAGCTGGTCCAGCAGCAATCCCAGCTTTACCCACAGACCACATGTATTCCCTGAAAATGACAATCACTTTGCCCTTGAGAGCTTTCAGAGGAGGATCTTAGGAAGGAATGGACATCACCAAGGGCCATGGGTATAGTAGGGGAAGCTTCTGGGAGAAACTATGTCCTCTGTTTCCTGGGCTCTCTCAGGAGCTGACCCCAAACATTGAATGCCATCCTTTGGAGAAAGCTGCATGGTTCCCAGATGTGAGAAAAATGCAAGCCCTTGCTACATATTTAATAGTTGGTACTTCCTTTGTGCCCATGGCCTATTCATGTTTGGATAAAATTTATTAATTATAAACCTTTGTATTTAAATTGCCCTTTCTTTTGCAGTATTGTGCACTTTGTGATATAGGTCTTGAAGAGGCAACATCGGACTATACCTTTCTGTTGTTCCTAGTAGTAAGTAACCCCTTTAGAGGCCCTTAAGTAAATGCTGCAAGGGGGCTTTCTTGATCCTATTTTTGGAGGGAAAGCAAACCAGTTGTGGAGATCAAATCTATAACTTGTACCTGTTTCACAAATGTTCTGTCACTGAACAACACCCCCATCCCTAATTTTAAAATGAAGATGGTTTATGTAACTAAGTTCCAGAAAAACAATATGTTTCTAAGTATAGAGTCAATTTTTTAAATCAAAATCCAGTGACAAAATAAGTTGCATCTTCCAATTCTAAAGACATAGTCTGAAGCAGTAATTCTCACCCTGTGGGTGAGACCCCTTTGGCAAACCTCTAGCTCCAAAAGTATTTACATTACAATTCATAATAGTAACAAAACTACAGTTATAAAGTAGCAATGAAAATATTTTTATGGCTGGGGGTCACCACAATGTGAGGAACTGAATTAAAGGGTCGTAGCATTAGGAAGGTTGAGAACCACTGCTCTAGAGGGTTGGGGATATGGCTCAATGGATAAACTGCTTACTGTACAAGAGTCAGGACTAGGGTGTATCTCTCCAGTATTCCCTTAAATGCCAGGTGGGCATGGTATCTCTGAAGAGATAAGGGATTCCCCAGTCTAGCCAGCTGTGTTCAAGAACCAACAACATCTGGGTTCAAGTGAGGGACAGAAATACAGGCTTAGTGAATAAGCTGGAGAGTGATTGAGAGCAACACCTGATGTCATCCTGTGACCTCCACAACACATACCCACATACATACATGCATGCACTCACATACATACATACATACATACATACATACATACATACATACAATGTAAACTAAGTATGAATGAAGTTCAATGCATATGTAATTAGCATAGTGTTAATTACACTGTACAGAAATACTTCCAATGTTTCTGTACAGAGTAATGTAATTGGATTTGACTTGTTTTATAAGCGAATGAATTACAATTCTTGAAATTTTAACCATTCTGTCCCATATACATCTGTAGAAGGCTGAGAGTTTGCAGTTTACTTCTGATGCTAGCATTTGGTATTTCTAATTGACAATGTCTCTTTTCCCTTAGTCTTTCCTTCATTTTGCCATCTTCCTCGTTATTCTTCGATGTCTGGAAAGCAAGCTTGGAATGAAAACAATGAGAATGGATCCTGTTTTCAGGTTTGGAGAAATCAAATGGTGTTGTATTCTTTATTGAATGATTTTGTATAAAAGCAACATAGAAGTTCTCATAGACACCCTGTCCATCAGGATGTGGTGAAGAGAGAGCTATGGGAACATATATGCAATGATCACAACATGAGTTCTGGATCTTAAAGATGATTGTGGTACCATGATCAAAATGAGAACACAGGAAATCCAAGGCTTCATCTGTCACTGATTGCAGGAGAGGTTCAAGAATCATCACATACAACATGATTAATTTGAATGACAACTGCTTTGTGCACTGGAGAGCTGAAGGGACACAGTCAATCCAGAAAGGGCCACAGCATTGGGGGGAGGTGATTATGATGGCAACAATTATTCTCTTGCTGACAGAGTGAGGCGCCTAGCCAGTGGGTCATGTGCGGCTTCTATCGACCTACAACAGAAAAAGAAATGGGATTAGGTATCAGGAAAGCTTGAAAGTGAGGTTGCTTCATTCAAGACTCAAGAACACAACGAGAATAGTACTAGTCCCTTTGTGTTTTCATTCACTTTTGGGTTCTACATTTGGAAATCACCACTTGTGTGGCAGAGTGGGGTGGCTGAATTAATAAAGGCACCTGCCACCAACACTGATGATCTGAGTCCAATCCCCTGTTCCTACATTGTGATAGGAGAGAGCAAACTCTTGAAAACTGTTCTTTCTCTTCCCACTTCTCTCTCTCCCCCTCTCTCTCATATACACACACTAAATAAACAACTAAATAAATGTAAAAGCAAACAAAAACAGCAAGAAATGCTGGGCAGTAGTGGCACATGCCTTTAAACCCAACACTTGGGAGGCAAAGGCAGGTAGATCTCTGTGAGTTTGAGGCCAGCCTGGTCTACAAAGTGAGTTCTAGGAAAGACAGGACTGTTATACAGAGAAGCCCTGTCTTGAAAAAACAAAACAAACAACAAACAACAAACAAACAAAAACCCAGAAAATGAATCTCCACTTGCCTGGGACCTTCCAGTTTCGCCATTGTGCATCCCAGGTCTCAAAACACTTCTGTTCTAGTGAAATAAGAATGGTTGGCTAGCCTACTCCAACATTAGTGCCATCTTTGTTATTGAAAGTTGGGTAGAAGAGTCAACCTTTGATATATCATCTTTGACCACAATGAGGAAGGGAGGAAGGGAAGAGAGCCCAATGTAATTATCTTGTCATAAAAGTGTGAGCCGGAATAGAGAGGCAAGGATGCCTCTGACACATCCCAAAGAAGGGACTTGCCTATTCACATAACTAGAATTGATTTTGAGCATTCTGGTCCATCACTCCAAAAACATTTTTGACAATGTTCATAATCTGTATTCATTTCATACCCAGAGTACTTATTCCATTAGCTGTGATATGAAATTTGTTTGGTAAACCCTACATATGAAGCTGTCTATTGAGGTTAAAAAAAAACAATGTGTCCATAATAAAGAGAATTGACAAGAGGCAAAAGGCAATAACTTTACTTGGTGACTCTTTCACCAGTTGTTGTTGAGGTGGGAGGGAAATGGATTTGCTGACAAAAAGATGGATATTATTATTAAAGATTTATTGTCCATCCAATCTACTCTAATATAAAATGAGAACAAAATTGGTCTTGATACAGCCACGGACCCCAAGAATCAGTCATTAATGGATTGCTTTGTCTATAGAATTTCTCCAAGAACTGATCGTGTATTTAACAATCCAGAAGAACCAGAAGGGGAAGACGAAGATGTGCGTCTAGAAAGAGAACGGACAGCAAATGCTTTGACTTCTGTTGACTTCCAAGAGGTAAACCTTGTAAAGCAGCTCACACAGCAGTGTCTTACATCTCTTTGCAGTTAAGGCATGTGTTCAAGAACACCACTTTAAAATAAGAAACACCTTCAACTGCTTCACGTGTACTCTTAAAAGAAATGAGCACTTTTCCTGAATGTGTGGTGATAAAGCCACCGTTGATTGGCCATTGACTTGGTCTCATTCCCAGGGACCAGCAGCCTTACTCTTCGGTACATTTGCATTCTTGGCAAAAAAAAAAAAATCTTACTGCACTTGGTCCTGGTTGAAAATGTGAGGTTCAGAGATACTCAGTCTGACTATTTCACCATGCTTAAGTTTTGTCAATCCGGTTCATTAATCTCTGATAATGGATGAGCTATCACAAGAGCTATCTTGTCTATTTGAAAGTTGCAAGTCTAGTGATAAAAGTGAAATATGAGTTCAGACTTCAAATTTGTGACTAAAGCTTTTATGGTTGGAAATAGCCACCTCTGTGACTGCTTTTGCTGTCCTTTCATTCAGCCATTGTAAATTTACCAAGCTTTCTGAGTTCCTCGGATACTATGCAAGTTTCTTTCTTTATTGCTCTATAACTAAGCACCCCATGAAGGGACCAGCTCCCCATTTCAGCAGCCATGACAATAACACATGCTTGCCATGACTTTGTCCTAGTCGCTAGAAGTCAGATGCCTGCCTCGTGGCAAGAAACCAATCAGAAGTTAGCTGGTGGAGCTATGATTTACAGCTCTGGGTGTGCTTTACAGACAAGTGCACAGCAATGACGCACAGAGCATAGCCACCACCCTGGGAGGGCCTATGGGCCATAACAACCAATTGGCCAATCAACACAGGGCAAGCCCTCCAAGCCTGGAGGCACACCAATCCTGAGCTTGTGCGTACCCCTAGACACTCCCCTTATGCTGCCCTACAAGATCTCTCGGCAGCCGGTTCGAGCTGTCTTTGCTAGCCATCCACCATGGCGGGTGGGTGAAAGACCGGAGCTAACATGGGTTAGCTCGTTAAACAACAATAAAGCCTCATGCGGTTTGCAGCAAGTTTTTGAATCTGCCTGGTGATTGGGGTGACCGAGGTCCTGGGCTGGGACCCCGGAGGCCTGAGTTTTTCCGGGGGTCTAACACCCATAGGATGTCCCAGTGGGTTTTTTATTCCTTTCATTGGAAGCTGTAACCCCCTTTGGGCTCTTTCAAACACTAACAAGTACACTAGATTACCTTGTCATTACTTTCTGAATGACTGTGATTCGGTGGAAGCTGGGATGCACTTGGGGTTTCTAAGTCTCATTACTAAAATAATCTAAGATGGCGTGCATATGGAAACATAATGACAATTTTATTATAGTTTTAAAGAAAACCCCCATGGCAGGCAGACTGTGATACCACAGCAGGTGTCTGGAAAGGGAGAATGGAGGGCAGAAGGACTCACGGCATTTGAAGCTGTCGTGGAGTTCAGACACAAAGTGGATGAGCAGCCATATTTCAGGGAGGGGGCTTTAGAGAAAGAACAAGGAAGTCCAAATGTTGGGAGAAAAGCCCAAAGTGTTAAGTTAAGGAACACATGCTTAGAAAACAGATGGAAGAAAAGAAGTTTTAGTTTTCGGAACAATTCAGAAAATATGGCAGGTTTGAGGCCTTTACACAGCTGCAGTCCATAAGCTGTTGTACTGCGGGTGAGGGTTCCTGGAGGTGCCAGAGCCAGAACTAACTGTTAAACCTATCTCTTTAGCATGGCTTAAGATGAGCCCACCTTCCCAGCTGGAATGTGGATGCTGTTCAATTGATAATGAGTTTTTTACCCTAGTGATTGTTCCCAAACTGATACAATCACTCACCACCCACAGAATGATATTCAAGATGTTCTGTACAGTAAAGTACAGGATTAGCACTTTAAAAGCAGAGGTAAATGATAGGCTTTATTATACCTGTTCTTGTTTTATTTTATTTTATTTTTAGAGTAGATCTTTTCCTTCAGTAAACCAAAGAAAGCCAGTGAGATGAGAAGTCAATTCTCTTTGAAGGCTAACAATTCAGCCTTATGTGTAAAACAATAATAACATTTATATTGTTTTAAAACATTATTAGATTCTAAATTAATGGGCTTTAGGTAAAATTTACAGTTGCAAATGTGTTTCACTAATATTTTAAAATATTACTAAAACACAAGAAATGTATTTCCTCCTATGCTCCCATATCAAGGCACAGAAAGTTCTGGGATTCAAAATATCTATTTATTTGACATCAATGAGATTACATAGATTATAGCTGCACTAAAAATAGCTAGAAACATCAAGACCAAGTTAAACTGGTTTTGAGATGCGATTTATGCTTTTAACAACCTCTCACTGGCATGTCTTGTTGTTTGCAGAAGCCAGCCATCATTGCCAGCTGTCTTCGCAAGGAGTACAAGGGAAAGAAGAAATGCTTTGTTCCTAAGAGCAAAAAGAAGTTAGCAACAAGAAATATCTCTTTCTGTGTTCGAAAAGGTTGGGCACAGGTTCTGCTCAGGAGCACCCTCCAAACGTTAGAGTCCCTGTCCCTTCTGCATGCTTCAGAAGCTGTGTTATTTCTTTTTCCTCCAGTAGAGTGACCTTGACTGTCTCTATTTTGATGGAAATGATTTTCCCTTTGAATAGGGACACAGTCAGACTGACATGAGAAATCACACGTTTTTGTTATTTGCTGAACCATCTAAATTACGGGTCTACCTATTTAGTCACTGTTGTTGCTTTTCTAATGATCAATAGTGTTTACCAGGGAACTGACCTGCTTTCTGCTATTCCATCCTGATATCTTGACCATAGGGTAAGAGGAACCTATTTGCTGACTTCTGCCTTTCTCTGACACAGTATGACTTAGTCACTCCTCTGGTGGCTTTGGGCAAGTGGCTGAAACTCAGAAGTTCCTGTCCCTTTTCAGTGTCATCAAGATCATTATCCGACCCATAGCATCATATAGTTTTTCTTTAAATAATACATATTAATTGTGCAAGTTAATGCCGTTCACTCTGACATTTCCATGAGTGCAAATGTGGTATACTATTTATATCCATCCATCCAAATTCTCCCTGCTCCTCCCCTCCCCTCCCC